AAGAAATAACTAACTAAAAGCAAGTTCTTCAGTGAAACCTACCAGCATTGGGTCAGTTCCAAGGGTAGGTGAGCTCCCAAGATGTTCTCTGGTTTCCTCCTTTGCTTTATTTTATTTTATTATTTTATTTTACCTTATTTGTTCATTTGGTACTAGAAGGTTGGAAGTAGATAAAGGAGATAGTAACTACTGGGGGTGAGAAAGCTAGGTGTTCAGATGAGAGGCTGGTGAGCGGGGACACGATGCCTTTTTTTTTATTCTTCTCCGTGTTGATTTAGGGCACGTTCCTCCCCACCTGGTGGGACTCCTAAGTTGCCGAGAGCCTTCCAGGCAGCGAGAGCAGACTGAGTACCGGCCAGGACCCCTGTTCATGTTCTCATTTGACCCTTACAACAACCCGATGATGAGGTAGATGCTATTACTCCTGTTTCACAGGTAAACTGGGGCTCCAGGTGTCCACTCACGCCCCTAATTAATGTCACGAGACAAAGCGATAGATCAGGGTTTCCAACCCGGGTCTGTTCTCCAAGGTCTGGGTTTTTTCCACTGCGAGGCACTGCCTCCCTGCTGCAGGGCGCTCTGTCCCCGCCGTCCCCCGCAGCGCGATGGCAGACGTGTCGTGGACCGGGGAGGTCAGGAAACGCCGCCCGGGCAGAGTCTCGGGGCGCAGTTAGCTTCCCCCTCTCCTGCTCCTACCACGATGCAAACAGTGCGGTCCCCCGCGGGCCTCTGTCCTTCGTCCCGTGACCTGCCCCCTCCCATCTCTACCCCGTCCCAATAGCACCCCAGGACCTCAGCTTCCTAAATTTCAGCCAGAACATTATTTTACAAGGACGCTCGCCAACCTTGAAAGGCGAGGTACCCCGAGGCAAGGGAAGGAAAGGCTCGCAGTGGAGCAGCGTGGGCGTGCAGCGCCATCTAGCGGTGCTGGAGCCCCCTGGCTCCAGGCGCTGACATTTTCAAACAATCAATATCTCATTATTAACCATCATCACAACCTGATGTTTACTTTTGGAGAAATGTTCAGCAGCAAGGGATGCACGTGCACTTTTCTGCGTGTTTCAGAGGCCTGCGGTCCTAAATGCCACAATGACTATTAAACAGTGTCCTGCCCGTGAGCAAACAGGAGGGAGCAGAGATTGCCTGTGTATCTTTTTCATCTAAGCTGCTCACCAAAAAACAAAGCATCCATTGAAGCCACTGACCTTTCACTAACTGCTGGAAGGAAAATGCTTGATAAATAATAAATAGACCACTACTGTATATTGCTTAGAACCCTCTTTTAATTAAAAGAACTGAGCATCTAGAAGGTCCGGTGACTGACATTTATTTAAGTTGCAGTCCAGGAAAAGCAGGTGTCGAGGGTAAAAACCATACCTGAAATACTGTCAGCTAGTATTCAACAAAAACCCCCTGTCTGTCATCTGTACGGGTGGAGGGAGGCTGGTGGTGGCGACATTTGGCAGGGAGCATAGCACTTAACTTCCTGCCTCCTCTGCCTTCCCTAGCAACCTTTCCGTGCTGCAGCAATAACCACTTGTCTGGTTCAGCATCACCACAGAAACTGCTTCGGGCCTGGGCTCATCCAATCAGAGACCCGCTTGCCACATTAAGCGCTACCCTAGGAGCGACACGAAAGCCATTTCCCGTCTTTTCCACAGGAGGGCAGGTGCCCTTCCTCCACCAGCCAAGGTGACCTCAACCAAGTTGCTCACTGAACCGGCTCAGGCATCCCTCATCTCAGTGAACACAGTCAAAAGCTCGAAACACATGGCTAACTTAGCCAGAGTCAGCCTTCCACGTTCTGGCTGTTCTGGAATAGAGCTCTGGGATACAGACCAGGAAGAAAATAATTGCCTGGGTCCTCCCTGGCCCCACCCCGACCCGACTGGCATTTCATTGCTCCTAGCTCCACGATCTTCTGGGTGAGGCGGTGCCAGCTTGCTTTCACTGTCAGTGCCACGTTGTGTCACATGCCCTCACTCCCATGTATCCAGGAAAACTGCCAGCCTGCTGTGAGTCAGACGTGGTCACAGACAAGAGCCGAGAGGGAGGGATGCAGCCCAGCAATTCCAGCGAGCCTCGTCTGCACTCCCAGGGGCAGGGGTGGGCACCGGTGCCAGCCGCACAGAAAATCCTATCCCACTTGAATGACTTTGTTTAAAAAAAAAAAGAAGTCTGCAGAACGTTTTTCAGTGACAAGCCATCATTTATTTAGACAGAAAGGTATCATTTTAACAAAATCAGGAGTCCTTTAGGGGCAGATAATTCAGCAAATACCACTTTCATTATCAGGGAACTCTCGACAGTATTATACTGAACTACAAAAAGAATTGGTCTAGCCTTTTATGGGCACCAATCAAGGATCAAGTCTGACCAACAAAAGCAAAGACAGAACTGTAAAATCTGGTAAAGCCAGGATCTCTTAAGTCTGGATATTTAGACGATAGTGTATGTGGATGTCATTTTCTTTTGTTGGCTTTCTCATTCCTCCTATCCTTTCACTGAAAGCATTCACCTGGCCAGCCCCCGACATCCTGGGTCTCTCTCCACGCTCCCCTTGGAGAGCTCGTTCATTCTCCTCTCTCCAAACTTTGTCCCTGTACTAGGGATTTTCTCCCTCTCTCCCAGACACCTATCCTGTATCTGTCCCCCACTGGAACACTACCATCACCGCCAACTTAGTAGGCTGAGAATTGAAGGTCTCTTCCCTGAGAGCACCAGTTCCACTTTCAGGACTGGCTGCCTGTTAGTGATGCTTCTGGTCTTGCGGTCACTCGGGTTTGTAACCTTGAAATTGCCTCTTTGTTGTCTGACATGTTCCCTCTTCCCTCCCTCCCTGCCCACTCCCCTTTCCAATCTTTTACCTCACTCCTAGGCAAACCCTGCTTCCATCTGACACCGCTTTCATTCCTTCCGGGCTCAAACGTTCCCATACCCAACTGAGCTCCTCCCTGTAGTTGACACGGCCACTGTGATATGATCATATCCCACCTGGTCAAACAGGTTTTCCACTACTTCTCAAAATAGTACTAAAAGCACGTGCCACACATTTTACAAATGAGCTTTGCATTCATTATCTCAGTTAATCCTCACAACATTAACTTGAAGCCAAAGAGACAAAACATTGTCCTTATTTTGCAGGCTGGGAGGCAGTGGCAGGCACAAGGTCATGCCAGTAAAAACTGGAGTATCCAGAACTAGAACCCCGATCTTCATACCTGCCTGCTGCAGACTTCACTGCAACCTGGACACCTGCCTTCCTTTCCTTGGGCTCAACAAACCAGTTGGAGGGTCTGTTCCTGAAAGGCTGTTTAATGCATCTGTGCATACAAAGGATAAGGATATTTCTGCCCTCATCTACACTCTTAACAGGGAAACAATAGCTACCATTTGAATGTAGCTACCACAGTAAACTAGGCAGGAGTAAAAACAGCAGATCAGGTGTACCAGCCACAGTGAAGCACCCTAGGAGTGCAATCGGTAGGGAGTTTGAGAAGGGACTTGACACCTGATTGGGACTTTAGTTTCCGAGTAGAGACACCATTTGAAAAGGGCACGGCAGGTACGATTCCTGCAGACCACGGCGGTGGAGGAAGCAGCAGGCACACTTCATTCCACCTGCCCTTCCAGGCTCACGTGCGTTCCTAGACAGATCCAGAGCTGATCCCTCAGCCCCCGAACCTACCGTACTTTTCCATAATTTAAAAAGATGCCTGTTCATCTTGCTGTTTCAAAAGTCACTCGTCTTCCCAAATAAATTCTAACTCTTTAAAGGCAAGTATGAGGTCACACTTCCATTCTCCCCAGAACACTAAGGGTTCCTGACAGTGGCTTTTACCCAAACTGTGGGCACAGTTCTGAATTCTCCAAGTAAGCTTTACACCTTTCACTGTGTTTTGATCATGGCTATTCAACCTAAAGATGTCAGTGACAGCAGCTTTTCCCCCCGTCCAGAGGTTTGCTCAACAGGGACGGTCTCCCTCCCTTCTGCCAGGCCTTAGGGTGTCCTCCTGAGACTCCCAGTCTGCTTTGACAAGATCAGATGTGGGGAGAACACACATTCTCATACATTGCTGGTGAGAGTATAATTTAGCACAATTTCTATGATGGACAGTATCAAAACTGAAGATAAGCTATTCCTCAATCCAGCATCCCATAACTATCCTATCTCATTTGCAGCACAGTAAAACAGAAACAATGAACATTTTCATCTGGCAATGATTGAATTAGGCATCCACACAAAAGATGAGTCATGTTAACTGGAAAAACAAGGTACAGAACAGTATGCATTATGTGTTCCACGTATGTGCCCAAAATATTTCTGGAAGGCCACACAAGGAAATGGTAACCGTGGCCACCTCAGAGGAGGGAAAATGGGCGGCTGAGGGACAGGGATGAGTGGGAGACTGGCTTTTTATCTTTAAACTTTGAACCACGTACATGTGTAATTTTTAAAAGGATTATGCGACAAATAACTCTTAAAGTCTTCATCGTTGTGGCAGAGAAACTGCCTTTAAAAAATCCAGAAACATAAGGTTTAGAGAGATAATGAGTGACCTGATTGTTCCTCTGAACATGGAACTGTCTCCTTCGCCTGTTTAAGTCCTCTTCCCAAGGTCTGGCCTGATATTTGGTACTCAATGGCTGCCTAATGTCTTTGAATGGATGAAATGTACTCGCCCATCTAAAAGCAAAGCATTCATTCCCCAAACACAAGGATAAAGGTCGGTGGGAGCAATGTGGCTGAGAACTGCTTTTGCCTCATGTACTCATTCACCTGCATTAACGGAGAACCATGTGCAAGAATGTGTACCACACAGAGACTGTGAGATGTGGACCAGACCCTGCACCACAGTCCACCAGGAGAGAGAAGAGACTGTGCACAAAGACAAGTGGGTAGAAGAGCAACATGAGTCTTAAAATAAGGAATTTCTGAAGCAGTTTACTACTAAGAACTGAAAGACACTGGCTTGATGACAAATACAAAGACTATAATCTCAGAGGAATATTTCATTTATTTAGTAAAACACAGGAAAATGAAGAAGGCAGAACCTGTAAGCACGCCTTGGCCCCAGAGAGGCAGGTGGATGCTGGCAGACAGCATCATCCAAATCAGCTGCCTCCCTCTTGGCACTCCAGTCACCCACAGAGACGCCACCTGAGTGCAGTCTTTAGCTGGATGTAGTCATTCATTCATTGAACAAACATGTACCGAGCAGCCCACTATGTGCAGGCCGACATTAACTGGCCCCAGCACACTCAATCCATAAAATTAAAGTTATAGTCTTGGCCTTTTGTCCCTCAGCAGTCTCAGGTCCTCACTCTTACCGCAAAGCACAAGTCAGCTTGGCCTCCCAGGTTGAAGGTTAATAGTTCTATGGCAAAAAGGACAAAGACTTTCTACAGACAGAAACAGCTGGCCAAGGGACCACACCGTGTGTACAGGTAAATGTGATAATCCAGAGAAGAGACACAGACCAGGGAATCAAATGTAGCCAGCCCACATGCTAACAAACATCCAAGCAAGCCTACTCAGAATCTGAGTCCCACTCAAACAATCTTTATAAAGGTTTCCTCATGTAATTTACAATTTCAAAGTAAATTTACTTTATAAGCAGCTAGGGAATTTTTTATTTAGTAATGTCCTAACATAAAAGTTCACATAACTGCTTCTTTCCAACCATGATACTGAGGCTTTATGACAACCCAGAAATCAGAACTAAGAGAAGACAAACAAATCTCTAATGCCTTAGAGATTAAGAAACATTTACACAGTTCAACTGTTATAAATAGCTCAGCATTCGTCTAGTCAGTACAGTGTGGATGTCAGTATACACAGTATACAATCTTCAGGGCGGTCAGAGACCTTTTGGCTGTTCTTCAGGTGCTGCCGAATTCTGGTCCTGTGGGACTTCTTTCTCAGGCTGGTTTCCTTCCAGCGCAGTCTGGGGTCTGACACTCATGTGTTCGGATCTTGAGGAAATGTGACTACCTTCCTGTTGCTTAAAAGACCAAATATATAAGTACTTCACACAGATGTTATCATTTGCACTCAATTAACTGTCTAAAGCCATATGACTAGGCACAGTCTGTCTCTGAGTAAAAAATTTAGCACTAATATCTCAGGTTAAATTCTATTATAACAAATATCAAAGATAATACAGATTTCTATAGAACCACAATTTCAAAAGCCCTAATGACAGCTCACTTGTTCCAAGTAGCAGCCATTACCACAACATTCCAGTACATTCAATCTAATAGTATTTGACCTGGAGTTTAAGAACATGAGCCAAGGTTGGGGAAAGAAAACCAAGCCTCCCTCTAACTTCTGACAAATAGGCAATAGTACATTCAATTTCTGTATCTGTAGGTTCCACATAAGTGGATTCAACCAGTTACAGGTGGAAATTGTTTTTTAAAAAATTAAAAATTAAAAAATAATACAAATTTTAGTCAGGCACAGTGGCTCTTGCTTATAATCCTAGCAACTGCAGAGGCTAAGGTGGAAGGATCACTTGAGCCTAGGAGTTCAAGGCTGCAGTGAGCTATGATCTAGCCTGGGAGGCAAAGCAAGACCCCATCTCTAAAATAAAATAAAATGCTTTAAAGAAAAAGAATACAAATTTCAAAAAATACAGTATAACAACTATCTACATAGTATTTACATTATACTATGACACTTTATACTATAATCCAATAATAATTTTAACAATACAATACTCACAGTCCTTGGTTCTCCTATTCGTCTTAAAATGACACCTTCTGCCAATAAAGCCTTCCCTGTTTCCACAAATAATTTCTCTTCATCTGTTTCTCCAAGTTTCTGTAGCTCAGTGTATTTCTCCACAAACCTGGAATTCCAAGTACTCACAATTTAGGTCTGTATGTATGTCAAAGTTGTCAAGACATGCTGTTACACAGTATCAAGTATTCCCTAGACAGATCTTCCTATAGGACCATCCCTCTCAACAAAACTCCTCAAACTGATAACTAAATCCTTAAAAAAAAGTAATCCAGGACTTGTAAAATAGCTTACCGTTGACAGGTAGACTTGAAGTTTGGATTGAACAAATCAAAAGCTTTTTGACCAGATCCATAGGCTGAATAAAATTTCCTAGAAAATACAAACAAATATAAATCTCTAATTATAGATTGTAGCCAAGAATGGAATAAAAGTAATAAAGAATAACTACCAGGCCCTGAGGAGCTAAGTATAGCATGATCTACCTAGCCTAAGACAGTTGTTTTCTCAAATAAGTAATGTATGCTCGTGGTAAATACATCAAGTGGTACTAAAGGGTGGTCAGTGAAAAGGAACACCCCCTCCCCCTCTGCCCACCAGTCCCCCAGTCCCCCTCTCCTGGAGCAACACTTACCAGTTTCTTATATATCCATCTGGAAATTCCACTAATATACAATCACATATACACTATCATGCCCTGTTCCCAGTCACATTTTTTAACCCAAAAAATGGTAAACCTTGCTCTACAATTTGCTTCTCTTTAAATTGAGGTAAAATTCATGCATCATAAAATTAACCATTTTTAAATGTAAAAAATCGGTGACATTTAGTACATTCACAAAGTTGTACAACTGTCACCTCTAATTCCAAAACATTTGCATCACCCCAAAAGGAGGCCCTACACCCATTAAGCAGTCATTCCCCATTTCTCCCTCCCCATATCTTTCCTTTTTTACTTAATATTTCTCAGAGATCATTTCAAATCAGTGCATGTAGACTGCTTCCAGTCCACTGCTACCCTAGACAGTGCTGCAATGATTACCTTTATCTATACTTCTTAGTATACTGTGCAAATTAGTCAGGGGAACAAATTCAAAACATAGTATTAGTGGATCAAGGTATGTGCACATGTAATTAAGCCTTCCAAATTACCAAATTGCTTTCCAAAGCAGTTGTGCCAATTTAAATTCACACCAGTCATGTATGAGTGCCTATTTCCCCACACCCTGACCATGTTACATTCTCCAACTTTTAGATCTTTGCAATCTGATAGGTGAGAAATTATAACTCTTCATAGTTTTGCTTTTCTCATGAGTTTAGGTATCTTTTCAGGTTTAAAAACAAACTGAAGTTCCTTTTCTGTGAATTGTCCATGTTCTTTGCCCATCTTTCTATTTGGAGGTTGCTATGGACTGAATGTCTGTGTTCCCCCAAAATTCATGTTGAAACCCTAATCCTCCGTAGGATGGTATTTAGAGATAGGGCCCTTGGGAGGTAATCAGGCCATGGGTACAGCTCTCATAATGGGATTTGTGCCCTTATAAGAAGAGACAGAGTGAGCTTCCTTGCTCTCTGCTCTTCCCAATGTGAGGAATCAGGAAGTGGCCCTCACCGAAACCAACCATGATCTCACCCTGATCTCAGACTTCCCAACCTCAAAAACTATGAGAAATAAATTTCTGTTGTTCATAAGCCACCCAGTCTATGGTAATTTGTTATAGCAGCCAAAACTAAGAGAGTGGTCTTTTTCTTAATGATTTATAAGCAAATTTTATAGCCATATTAATAGGAAATTAGTCCTTTGTCATACATTTTGAAAAATCATTCCAGTTTATTGGTTGTCTTTTGAGTTTACTCATGGTACTTTTTTGTGCAGAAAATTTTAATATTTTCTTTTAGGGCTTCTAAGTTTTATGTCATGCTTAGAAAGGCCTTTATCACTCAGATTATTTTTTAAATACTCCTATGTTTTCTTCCAGTACTGTAATGGTTTCACTTTTTACATTTAGGTTTTAGGTTTTGATACATCTGGAATTTATTTTGTTATATTTAAGAGACAGAGTCTCACTATGTTGCCCAGGCTGGAGTGCAGTAGCTATTCATAGTCACTATCATAGTTTACTACAGCCTCAAACTCCTAGACTCAAGCAATCCTCCTGCCTCAGTTCCCCAAGTAGCTGGGACTACAGACATGCACCAGTGGGCTTAAGTCTGTAAGTTCTTTAAAATATCAAAAACACACACACAAAAAAAAAAAAGCTAAAGAAAGGTTCAGTGAATTTGTTATTATTTTGGCATTAATAGTATTAATATTTAACCAGAAAGAGGGATCAGTAAAATATTCTCCAATGACTTATCACCCAGTCCACAGTCCAATGCTATCCACAGCAGCAGAAGCACAAATGATTTTATTATCTAAATAAACCACAAAAGCATCCTAACCAAGTTCAGGCAATGGATCTGAGCACAAAGGTGCTGAAAAAAATATTTATTCCTCCCAAACATCTCATGTCTTACCCTGAAAATTTCCAAGTAGAGCAAGAACACACTTGTTCTGCTACCTCAAACAAGTGCTATGGGAGAGAAAAAAAAAGAGCATCCTCAAATGAAAAGTGCCTAGGCCCCAATGGAGAATATAATGACCTTATAAATTCCATTTTCTTGCATCCAGGAATAGAGATAAGAATTAGGGATGTATATTAACTTCAATTAGACACAATTACTTAAGAGAAAAGGAACCATACAAATTCGAAGAACTAACTGACATCAGTATTCGAGGGCAAGGACTTTATCAGTAAGTTCCCTGTGAGTGATTTACCACTTACTTAAAGCTCAGATATGTGTACAGGGAAGCCAAATGTCGCCACAGAAGTGGTTTCTAATCCACTGTTCCTAAAGTTGTTTCAGGAATAAATAAAGCTTTGATAGTCATTCTCCAAACAGCCCTAATCCTGGGCCTTCATCATTGCTCTCCAAGGAATTTTCTCTCATGTCTCCCTCTACTAGCCTCGTGGTTCATTTGTTCAGTAATTAATCCATTAGTTTCTTCACTCAAAAGACAACTAACAAGCAACTTACCACACACTAAGTACTGAGGTCACAAGGATGACTATGACAATGCCAGGCCCACGGCAGTGTTTAATAAATGTTTGTTATTAAATAAAGATAGGGCGTTTGTCACACAGAGTTGTTAGTGACAAGTTAACACCTTAACAGGGGCAACATGAATAAGCTATTCAGGGTATACAGAAGGAGAAACACTAACACTGGGAGACAGCAGAGAAATATTCCCAAACGAGTATGACATCTGAACTGTTCTTTTTCTACTATGAAAAAAACAGAATTTGAAAGACATTTTAAAGAATGTTGCTGGGAACCATTAGAAGCACATTTTCTGCAGCTATTTAGGTTTGGGGGGAAAAGGAGAGAGAAAGACATTAAAGAATGAATATTTCTACTAGCATCAACACCTGATTTGCACTTTGAAAGTAACTCAGAAAAAGATGGTTGAGTTTATGGAAAAAGACCTTTCTAAACCCTCTAACCCTAAAAGCAATGAAATGAACAAAAAGAAAAAACTGGTAAATTGGAAAACATAAAACACTCCAGCACAATGTCTAGCACAATGCCTGGCATATAGAAGGCACCACAAAACACATATGTGGAATGAAATAATCTACTTATATACAAAATAGTATTACAAATGGCAACAACATGAAAAAATGTCTCAACGTACATCAAAGGATTAATACCTTTAATTCTATAAAGAACTCTGATAAATAGTAACAATTATTAAAATAGGTAAAGAACATGGGTATTTCAAAAATAAATTCAAATGGCCAATAAACTTGAAAAGGAAGAAATTTCTTACTAATCAAATAAGCAAAAATTAAAAGCTCTAGACACTATTTTAAAACTATCTAGATCAGAAAAAAAAAACTTAACCACTATCAATGTGGACAAGTATAAAGGACTCTCAGAAACTGCTAATCAGATAACTAGATAACTTTTTTGAAACAAATTATCTAACTACAGCAACAGCTTTAAAAATGTCCATACTGTTTAACCTAATCAATTCTAGTGATAGAAATCCACCCTAAGGAAATAATCAGTGTTACAGAGAAAGACAGAAAATCAAAAATATTACTATTTATAATAGCTAATATTATATAAACAGCATAAATGGCCAACACTAGAGAAATAGTTAAATACAGAACATTCACAATAGTTTAATGTGTTTTTTAATGTATAAAAAATGGAAAAGTGGGCCGGGCGCGGTGGCTCACGCCTGTAATCCTAGCACTCTGGGAGGCCGAGGCAGGGCGGATTGCTCGAGGTCAGGAGTTCGAAACCAGCCTGAGCAAGAGCGAGACCCCCGTCTCTACTATAAATAGAAAGAAATTAATTGGCCAACTAATATATATATATAAAAAAATTAGCCGGGCATGTGGGCACATGCCTGGTAGCCAGCTACTCAGGAGGCTGAGGCAGAAGGATTACTTAAGCCCAGGAGTTTGAGTTGCTGTGAGCTAGGCTGACGCCACGGCACTCACTATAGCCTGCGCAACAAGCGAGACTGTCTCCAAAAAAAAAAAAAAAAAAATGGAAAAGTGCTCACAATAAATAGAAAAAAGGACACATTATTTGTATCATGTTATGATGAAATTATATACACACATACACACAGAAAACAATGTAAGGAAACCAACCCAAATATTGTGGATAACAATATCAATAATGGTTAACATTCATTGAAGGCTTACTTTGTGCCAGGAACTGAACTAAAGATTTTGTGTTACCTTATTAAATCTTTACAACTCTATGAAGTACTATCATTATATTTTACTGTGTAGAAACTGAAGCTTACAGGGGTAATTGTTTACTCAAGGTCACACAGTTGAGTAAACAGCAGGACTTGCCTTCAAACTCTTACCTCTAGATGGTGGAATTATGGGTGATGTGTGCTTTCTTCTTTATGTTTTTCCTTAGTTTCTAAATTTTCTACAATGAGTCTAATACTTTTATAATTATTATTATACTTTTATAATAATTACTTTCTTTTTTTTTTTTTTTTGAGACAGAGTCTTACTCTGTTGCCCGGGCTACAGTGCCATGGCATCAGCCTAGCTCACAGCAACCTCAAACTCCTGGGCTCAAGCAATCTATCTGCCTCAGCCTCCCCATAGCTGGGATTACAGGCATGCACCACCATGCCTGGCTAATTTTTTCTATATATTTTTAGTTGGCCAATTAATTTCTTTCTATTTTTAGTAGCGACTTGGGTCTCGCTCTTGCTCAGGCTGGTTTTGAACTCCTGACCTTGAGCGATCATCCTGTCTCAGCCTCCCAGAGTGCTAGGATTACAGGCGTGAGCCACCACGCCCAGCCTATAATAATTACTTTTATAATAAAAGAGGAAAGAGATACTAAAGAAATAAAGAATGCGAGCACCTTCCTTCAAATCCCTAGCAATGATTACTTTTAAATCCCTTGGATTATTAAAGCATCCTTCTGTCTGAGTGGCTTCAAAGATCCCTGCTACTAGATCCATAGAACACGTTCCTCCTAACACTCCTGGAGAAAGCAGGCACAATGACCAACATAAACTTGGAGTCAGAGATGTAACTCCCAGAACTGCCACCTCCTTAACCACAGGAGGTTAACTTCCTGGAGCCTCACAGTGCTTTTGAATAAAACGCAGACAAGGATACCTACCGTACAGGGTTAGAGTTATGCCTATGAGATAATGAGATAAGGCTTGTAAAACAGATGTGCAGAAACAGGATAGCTATAATTGCTATGATCTGTCAGTTGCTGACCTCCAGATTACACTTCTCAGAACGTCTGTTTCTCTCAACATGGGGGGAGGGGGCGGAGGTATCGATTCCCTAATTTAGCTAGACATACAAGACCTCCACAGGGAGGTCAATTCCTTATTTAAATTACCAGACTGCTACCTAAACCTTTCCTTCTGAAGTTCTTTTGCCTCCTGTGCACTACACGGGCTGCACACTCACGCTCTGATCCGATCCTCGTGGTACCAGATGTCCTGGATGGAAGCTTTGGCTTTGCCATAACGCAAGCGGGGCCTTCTGAAGACCGGCTCCCTCAGCGGGGGAAAGGCGTCATAAATGTCATACCAGAGGGGCTTCTCTTTCAACACCCCAGCCCGCATCAGATCCCGCGTCCTTAGGGAAGGAACAGAACGAAAGCCAGTCAGTTACAACAGCCTGCCAAAGCCCATGAATCAGTCAAACACACAGCCTGGGACACCAAAGGTTTCATGCAGTCCACATCATAAAACGAGGGAGGAGGGAGAACGAGGGATGCTCCCCCATACAGGGAAGATATTTCTACATCCCAAACCAACCTAACAATGCTCAGAGGTTAAGTCCCTCTATCGTCCCCTTATATGCGTCCCACCCCCGTTCCATCACGGAAAATGCAAGGACTGTCCAGTCTGGCCCATTAAGCTCTCCTCCCTTCCTCTTTCTAGAGACCTCCATTCGGGGTAGAGGCGTGCAATCTATAACGTGAAAGATAAATTCAAGGAGACGTCAAGCATAACCATTAGGAGCCAGGAGAGAGAGCACGAGAGAGGGCCTCGCCCGGCTCAGACACCCGCACCCTACAGAATGCCTCGCCCTGCCCAGGCCCACCCAAGGAAGAGCGTGACCCGCCGAGAACCCCCGCCTGGGGGAGGCCGGCTCAGCCCACCCCTGGCTCCGAGCACGAACCGCGAGAAGACGCTCCCCACGGTTTCCAGTCGGCTGCCTGCCATGGCCAGGGGCTAGAACACAGCGTGACCACCTGCTACCGGAACCGGAAGCGGGAGTAGCAAGCAGAGGGGGCATAAGTTGCTTACCGAGCCGAGGATCGCTACGCTCAAAGCACAGCCCCGCCGAAGAGCGGAGCAGGCAGAAGCAAACGATGAGCCGAACTGGAGCACTCCTGAGCTTCTTGCCAGGTACAGACAGGAGCACTCGATAGCCGAGCCAAAAGGGAGGGAGCGAGCAAAAGCAGGGCAGAAATAATAAATGACCGATCTAGGTAAGGGATTAATTATGGTGGTTCTTTACCCTATCTAGCCCTAGGGAGCCAACTTCTTTCAAGAAGGTTGGGGCCGCGGGGAGCGAATGTGGATGCGGAGAGCGAGGGTGAGGCGCGGCCTACCGAGGGGTGCCAAACCCAGGGAACAGTCAAGGCAGAGATTTGAGGTCACCAGCCCTAGGCCCGGACTGAGTCTAATCTTGATCAGAGTCATAAAGCACGCAGAAGAAAACTGAGGTCCAGGAAGGGACACTTGCCCAGGGTCAGGCTAGATCCTAGACCTCGGCCCTCCACCTCCGGCTGTGTAGCGCTCCCCATTCTGCTCTTTGTCGCCTAAATGCCACCTGCGTCCACATCGACAGGGATTCTGACGGCAACTGGTGTTTCCTCTGCGGAGGCGTCGCTGGCCAGCTCTTGTTAGCAGCTCGAAAAGTGAAAGTGTCTGGAACAAACAGATTCCCAGAAGGAAGCTAAAAACTATAGGGAAAGGAACCCCTCAGTGTTAAACTGTAAGAAAAATATAAACTCTGTGTGCACTGCATAGTGTACCCCTTGATTCAGGTAATCATACTTCGGGGGAAATACCCCATAGAAATTAAAGCATAATTTCATGAGATTATTTGTGCAAGGATCATGGTTGCAGCATTATCTATGGTAGCAAAGAGAAAAAATCCACCAAAGGAGAAATGGCTGGAAAATTATGGTTCATATATTCTATGGAATCCTATGCAGCTATTAAAGTGAATAAGCTAGATCCATATGTGTTTACCTAGATCAATGTTCATGCTTTATGATTAAATGAAAAAGAAAGTTACAGAGAAACGCCTGTAGTGGGATCCCAACCTGTTAGAGAAAACAGGCAAACAAATTACCTGTATGTGTGTTTATGTTTGAGGATAGAAACTGCAGAAGCACACAAAGCCATGAACATTGGGTATCTCGAATGAAATTGCAGGGAGAGAAGGGAAAAATTTTCTTCCTTTATATATTCCTGAGAGTTTGACTTGTAAAGAGTTTGTATTCATATTTGAACTTTTAATCCAATGAGTGTTTTGAATCACATACACACAGTGTCTCCCGGGAGCCGGTTATAGCACATGAAATCATCCCAGAGTCCTCCCACTCTAAGAGAGGCTGGTGAGTAGGAGGAAGGGACTGTTTGATGATGAGCAGTTACTACTTTGTGTTATCTCACTGAATCCACATACCTTCCCACAAGGTAACTATTATTATCCTCCTTATAGATGAGAAAGCAAGGCCGCAGGAGGTTAAATAATTTGTCAGAGAGGCAACTGATAGAACCAGACTTCCAGGCCAGCCTGGGCCCCACGATGCTTCCTAAACTATGTCAAAGATGGAGGCTGTTGGGCTCCAGGGTCAGAAAAACTTGCCCCAGAGGCAAGAAATCCAGTGATCTGGGGTCCAAAGCTAAACTGAAGTGGGTTTCACTGATGTCTCAGGACCCTCTGGAACAGAGACAAGAGAGCACAGGTCTGGCCCCTGGGCCAAGTATAGAGGCTCCCAGGCTTGGGGAAGTCTAAAAGACCTTGCTCTGGGGAAAGCAGACATGCTCTCAGCTAAATATAGTCTTCTTAGGCCTCCTAACCACTTTCTAATTCTGTCCAAGCCAGAGCTATCTGCCAGCCCAGATTACAGGCACACTTGTCTTCTCTCACCAGGGCCTGCTCCCCTAGATTAGCACACTCACTGCTGCCAAAGAATTAGAAGGGTGTATTCCAAGATCAGACCAAAGACTCAAACCCTCAATAGGGGAGGAATTGCAAGCCAGGAATTTTCTCTCTAAATCATCTTGGGGTGGTCTCTGCCTCTTCCAGGCCTTTGAAGTTTCCCTTTCCAGCATCATATTTAATGCTTCTGTGACTAAGATAACAATATTTTGGTAAGCAGAGTGGGGGGATCTTGGGGATGTGGGAACGTGGTTGATGGGGAGCCCTCTGAGCCTGCAACAGGAAATGTGTACCCAAGAAGCTTTCATTCATAAAATGGAAGGGAGCTGTTGGGCAGCAGAGGAAAGGCAGAATAGACAATTGAGGCTTTTTTTTTTTTTTTGAGACAGGGTTTCCATCTGTCACCCAGGCTAGAGTGCAGTGGCCTCATCTTAACTCACTGCAACCTTGAACTCCTGGGCTCAAGTAATCCTCCTGCCTCAACCTCCCCAATAGCTGGGACTACAAGTGCACATTACTGTGCCTGGCTAAATTTTCTATTTTTTTTTTTGTAGAGATGGGGTCTCACTCTTGCTTAGGGTGGTCTCAAATTCCTGGCCTCAAGTGATCCTCCCACCTTGGACTCCCAAAGTGCTAGGATTACAGGCATAAGCCACCATGCCCAGCCAAAGCTGTCTTCTTGAGTCGGCACGATGGCATTTCAAGGCTGCAAGGCACTGGGTACTTAAGGCAAGCACTGCACCAGGGACCTCAGTTATCTCCTTCAATTGTTCAACTACCTGCTGCCATAGGTAATGTCCTGACAATCCTACAGGTAAGGAAGTGGAGCTGTGAACTTTCCAAAAGGCCATGTTCCTTCCGCTATGCCTCTCAGCCCCATTTTAGTCCCACTGTGTCACATTGTACATTGCCCACTAATCGCATCACCCTGGGCAAGTTACATAACTTTTCAAACCTCTGTTTCTCCAACTGTTAAAATATGGATGGCAAGGTTAACTATCTTCATGGCTTATTGCAAGAGTAAAGGTGATCATTCATGTAAGGCATTAATCGCAGTACCTGGCACATAGTGAGTGCTTGTGAGCAACAAATCTGCAAGCTATTACAGTATCACTCTTGCTGTTGTGTTGTATAATCCACCAATTGCCACCTGGATTGCAGCATTTTGATGATATTTCATAGATTGTCTTTACTGTCTTATTTTCTTGTTCAATCATCCATTCATTCCACAAGCATTTAAGCACCTACCCAACTATACTGAGTCTCAGGGAATCCCAACTGTCCAGTAGGGTAGACAGAGGGGCAAATACATAAATGGCAGGTTATGTACTGCATGGCTTCTTGGTTGTATTAAGTTTGCTAGGGCTGCCATCACAACACCCACACCACGGACTGGGTGGCTTAAACAACAGAAATGTATTTTCTCACAATTCTGGAGGCTAGAAGTCCAAGATCTAGGTGTCTGTGAGGTTAGTTTCTTCTGAGGCCTCTTGCCTTGCCTTGCAGACAGCACTCTTCTTGTGTCTTCATATGTTCCTCCTCTGTGTGGGAAGGTCTGTGTCTTAATCTCCTTTTCTTATGAGCACACAAGGCATCTTGGATTAGGGTCCACCATAATGACCTCATTTTGATGTAATTACCTCTTCAAAGACCCTACATCCAAATACAGGCACATTCTGCCGTACTGGGGGTTAGGGCGTCAACATAGGAATCCAAGGGAGACACACACAGTTCAGCCCATAACTCTCATTAACACTTGACTGCCAAACTAGAAAAACAATTTTTTTCTTGGGGTCATGGTGTTTTATTACAAAAATAGAATAAAAACTTCAGAAACAAAATGATCCTTTCTGATTTAATAAAAAAAAATTGTTATTTTTTATTGATTTCTGTGTGTGAGTTACATGCAACTTGAAAAATAGTTCATATAGCTCCCAAGGTAAAGAGATGTGTGAGCTATATATGCTTCACAAGGCCTTGCGCTCAAAACTAGCGTGAGTTAAATACAACTCACATGGCAATTAATGTGTTAATGAGTGCTGAGTTGCTCCCGTTTGCCCATGCAGATCCACGCCCACTCTGTGCCATCCCTCATCCTGCCTTGTGCCACAGGGAGCTGACTTCTGTGGACTGCATCCCCCAGCTCCTTCCCCTCTGCATCCAGCTAGACTCCAGCTGGTACCGCCAATGGGAAGCATTGGCAGGGGACCTGGAGGAAGGAGGAGAGTGAAGGGTCTAGGCCATCCCCTGTGGCTTCCCTACACTCTGCCCACAGGTTTGTATGTAGCACCCTTATATAAGCAGTGCAGGGGTTGTCAGACAAAAAGAGGAAGTGCATCCCTAAAAGTGGAACAGCTTTGATAAGCAAAAATCCCAGTATATTAGTGAAATCAGGAATACTGCTACTCACCTATGGCAGAAAGCCAGGATCAGGGAGCAGTTAGTTTAAAAGTGGGGAAAACAATAGAATATATTCAATTGCCAGTATAAGAATTGTAGGTCTACTAAGTCCAAGCACAAGGGTGGAAGGCAGGCAGGGCCGTGTTAGAAGAGGAGGCAGAGTGCTTTCTCTTCCTTCAGGGGCTTGGGCTGTACTGCCTTTCCAGCACTTTCCTTTAGACACCCACCTCCTGTCAAGAGTCAGTTCAGGGGGAAAGCTTTGCAGCCCCCAGCACACACTTGGCCAGACTGGGTGAGTGACCCCAACCTGCTCCCTCCTCCTGGAGCTGTTCTGTCTCCTTTTGTGCTGTAACTAGGTTTACTCCTCTGAGTCTGTCCAACCCAGCCTCTTTGAGGACAGGAACTAGACTCTTTCTCCACTCCCGGCCTGGTGCTTGGCCCAGAGCTAGCTGGCTCTTAGAGTTTTCCAGTGAACAACACAGATGAATAAAGCCAAGTTAGGACAAATGAGGATTCTGTGATCTCAGCCCTCCCTTCGCTGCCTGCCCACATCTGGCCCTCTTTCCCTCCCTCCTAGGCAAGAGTTCCTTCCAGGCCTTCCCCAGAGACATTGTTATGGCGAGAGCTGTGGCTGAATGGAAATAATCCCCTGCCCCACCATGCACTGGGCATCCTGGGCATTTCCACTTCTGGGTGTCCTCTGTGCCTTACTGATGGATAGTCCTATGCTATAGTGCTCTGGGCCTCAGCTTCACCATCTGTAAAATGGGGATAATCATAGCACCTAGCATAGAGACCTTAGTGAAGAATCAGTGGGTTAATACTTACAAAGTGCTTAAAACAGTGCCAGGTGTATGGTAACTGCTCAATAAATACAAGTGATGATGATAACAATTTCTGATTACTCCATGCTTAAGAGCACCAATGTCCTACCATTAAATTCCGCCTAGCAATTTACAAGCCATTTTACATGGCTTCCCACTCTAAACTAGACAGGGGCTTGCCCCAAGGAGAATTCAGTTCTGGCAGATGGGAAATAAACACTTTATGCCCATACCCTCCCTGGGAGGTATGTATCACTGCAGCCAAGGAACCAATGTTTCAAATGTATTGTTGAAATTAAAGGACAGTTGAAATCACTCTGTGGGGATTTGCAAGCCACCCAAGATGAGATCCCTTGAAGGTGGACATTTCAGGGCTGGTGTGGGAAGTCAGAGCACCTTGATCTTTGATGTGCGCATGAACCTCCTGGGGACCTTGGACTGGTCTGAGCCTGGGTCTGCATTTCTGACAGGCTTCCAGGCTGATGCCAGTGCTGCTAGCCTGCAGACAGGGTAGCCACATGGCCTGAGTTTACTCAGGACTTTCCCAGTTTTAGCACTGAAAGTTCTGCATCTGGGGAAACCAGGAGAGCTGGTCACTGTATCCACAGAACACACTTGGAATAGCAAGGTCATAGCAAGGAGGCTTGTGCTGAATTGGACTGAGCTTCACACCTCCTCAGCCCAGAGTCTCCTTGCCTGATAAAGGATTGTGATTCTTTATTTTCTAGAAAGGACACCCAACTCCAGGCCTCAGCTCTCCAGGCAAGATAGTTGCTGGTTTTGTAGGCCCTGAAACTTATATAATCTTAGTGACTCTTTTAAGAAAAAAGTAAAAATATCTTTGTTTTACAAATTCTACAAAACACATGACCATGTGAACAGAGTAAATTCCCTTCTGTCTGGCCCCAGGCCTAACAGGTGCTGACATCTTCCTTCTGGGAAAATGGTGCTGGGTCTCTCAGTGGCCAGTGACTGCCACTTCCACAAGATGACCACCAGGTGGCAGTAGATTTACACAGCCCCCTCCAGACCTGCCCCCCCATCTCCAGAAATTTCCAACGCTTCCTCCAGCTGGCACAGCCCGCTAATCCAACAAATTAATCTATGCTGTGATAATGGCCATAAGGAGTTCATGTGATTCTCTCTCAATAGCATATTTGCCATTTAATGGAAATGCTAAGAGATTGTTTTTAAAACCAGATAAAGAATGCTAATGGGGGACTTCCAGTACTCTGTTGAATCATGGATCACTGTGGAGATGTTTTTGAGCAAGTGGGTCCTTTCTGTGTGCCACAAATTGCATCTCTGCAGGAGTCCTGGGTCTTATGACCTGTACCCCACCCCACCCCCACCTCCAACATACAGCCTAGTGTTTAGGTACCAGCTGTGGAGCTCAGCTACCTGGGTTCAAAGCCAGGCACTACCACTTACTGAGGGTAGGTGTAGAGTAAGGACTTTAGCATCTCTATGCCTCAGTTTCCTGATCTGTATGTGAAATGGGAGTAATAATACTGATTGCATATAATTGTTGTGGGGATTAGGTAAAATAATGTATGAAAAACACCCCAGAAGTGTCTGGCACACAATAAGCACTCAATAAAGAGCTACCACTTTCATCATCCCACACTGTGCCTGCCTCTTTTGCTCTTTGCACAAAATTCTCCTGTTTTTCCCTCCAATCCCATCCCCTCCCCCTAACCAGGTGCTTCAAGAGAACAGAGGGAGGGTTGAGACTCCAGCAAGGTAATAACCAGGCCAGTTCCTTCTGGGCATGGCATTTCCCAGACCCATGATCTCCTCTCAAGTTGGGGCTGAGCTGTGGGAACTCAAAAGGATAAGAAGGGGAGGGAGCACCAGCTGGACCAGACTCCAGATATCTTGGCTCAGCATTTTTGCAGAAGATATAAATCTGCGAGTATCATCTTGTGCATACCAGGAGCCCAGCATTTGTAGATAAGCATGGTACATGAGGGTAGATGGCTGGGGCGGTCACTTGGTCCAGCCTGTCCCTGCTCCTGATTCCTATACTCACTCTCAGCCGGGAGTCAGGAGCTCATCATCAAATAGAGGTTTCATCTTCTTCATCTTCTTGTCAGACCTGATAAGCTTTCTTCCTCTTTTTCTCTCTTTGATTACAATCACCTTCAGTCTCATCTATACTAATAAGCAAAATGGTGTATGGTTCTCAAACTTTGCTGTATATTAGAATCACCTGAGATTTCACAATCTGATTCCCAGGCTAAATCCCAAACCAATTAAATCAGAATCTCTCCAGGAATGGGATCCACACATCAGAAATGATTCTAATGTGCAGCAAGTTTGAGAACCAGTGTTCGACAGCAGCATTTCTCAAGCTTGAATGTGCACACGAGGCACCTGAAGAGAGTTTGTTAAAATACACATTCTGATTCAATAGGTCTGGGGCAGAGCTTGAGATTCTGTGTTTCTAACAAGCTCCCAGATAATAACTGAGCCTGCTACTCCACAGACCAAACTTTGAGTAGGAAGGTTGTGGAACTGTGGTGCTCAAACTTGAATATGTATGAGAATCGTCTGGAGGGCTTAAAATGCACATCAGTTTCAGATTCAGTAGAGCTGGAATGAGACCTGATAATTTGCATTTTTAACAAGCACCCAGGTGATGGCGATTCTGCTGATGCTGCTAGTACTTGGAGTACTTTTTGAGCATCAGGGGTGTGGAGGAGGCAATACAAGTTTTGGAGTCAGGCAGCTCTGGGCCCCCTTTTCTGGCTCCATGATGCCCTAGCTCTGTGATCTTGAATAAGTTACTAAACCTCTCTGAACAGTCATTTCATCACCTGTAAGTGGCTGTTATTGGGCAAGATCAATTGGATTAATATGAAACACCTAACAGACTGCCTGGTGTGCTGGTCCTCAAAATTGACTGCAAAATTGAATTGCCTGGGGAGCTTTAAAAAACAACAAAACCGTAATTGTTGACGTGATTGGCCTGGGGTACTGAGCATCAGGATTTTTTAAAAAGCTACTCAAGTAATTCTGTGCAGCCAATACTAGGTACTGGCCTAGCACTGTGGCTCCCAAACTATAGTGTACATCAGAACCACATATTGCTGGGCTGCACCCCCAGACTTTCTGACTCAGTAGGTCTGGGATGGGCCTGGGAATTGGAATTTCTAACAAGTCACCATGCAGTGCTGGGGTTATGTTCCAGAGATTACACTGGTCTGCACTACCAGTAAACACCCTGCAGAGAACCACCCAAGAGGGTCATCTTGGTTTGCTTAATACAGCACAGGCGGAGCATCGTCAGCAGTCCCAGGTATGCCACTTTACAAGCCCACCTGGGTCCGACTGGCGCTGGTGCCAGACCCTGATAGTAGAGGAACCTCTTTGAAGGGAGGGCAGGAGGCACAGGAGTTGTTTGTCAGGATGAGAGGAGCCACTGAGCTCAAAACACAGCATGGGAGGAAGAGGAGCAGCGTCGGGCCAGTGACCCAGGGTCCAGGAACCAGAAGTGTGGTTGTAGGCCACAAGGAGGCCTTTGGCTCAACACAAAGAAGAACCTTTTAACCTTAAGAAGGGTCCTGTCTGGAAACAGCACCAGCTTACTCTGGGCAGCAAATTCTCTGTCCTTGTAGTGGGAGGTAGCCTGATTGAGCTGGGGAGAAGGGGAAGCTAGAGATACACCAACTGGAAGATCTCTGCCGTCCTTTGAAGTCTGAGATGGCCCTCCCTACAGCCTCCACTCCAGCCTTGAACCCAGAAGTTATTTGTTTAAGGAGGAGACCATCTGGAGCTGTCCCAACAGACTGGCTTTCCCCATGGCATTTCCTTTGCCTGGAGACAAGTGGCTTTACTTCCCTGGGGCAAACAGGAAGGTGACAGCGCTGGTGGAAGCCCGCTGGTGGAAGCCCGCTGGTGGAAGCCCGCTGGTGGAAGCCCGCAGGTCAGCAACGTTGTTGCCGCGACAACAGGTGTCATCTTGTGAGGCTAGCAAGAGAGGGCTGAGCCCTTTGGGCCCTAGGTTGGCTGTAGGGTAATGGGGGCGGGCGAGGCAGGTGGCCCGTGGATACAAGGGGCTCAGGAGGGCCAAACCCTGCCCCAGGCAGGGAGGAGGGAGAAGGGAGGAGGGTTCAGCCCACACCGCCCGCCACATCAGAGCACCAAGAGAACACCAAGTCTTTATTACAGGAATTCCTATGAAACAGCTCCAAGAAAAAACCCACACATAGGAGGAAAAAAACAACAAAGCAACACACACAGACGTGGGGCTGGGGCTTCCCCCGCCTTGCGCCCGTTTTGGGCGCGGGGTCAGGGCCACAGCCCCCTCCTCTGCCCCTCGGGCTCAGACCCCTCTGGAGCTCGGGCTGGCGGCCCGGAGCTCCTTGGGGACCTGTCCCTCCCTCCCGGGACCGCAGGCCTGGCCGCGGAGAACGAGCGCCCGTCCTCGGCAGGCGGCCCGCGCCAGCGTCCCCTGCCCGCGCGCTTCCAAACTTGGTCACGCTCGCGGCGGCGGCGCGGCCCGCCTCCTGCGCCCGCCGCTCTCCGGGGCTGGGGGGCGAGGAGCGATCGCGGTCTCGCCTCCGCTCCGCCCTCACGAACTCGGGGCCACCGAGGCCTCCCAGCATCGGAGCCCACTCCCAGGGCCCAGGCTGCTCCCGCGCTTCCGGCGCCCGCGGCCGCCCAGGCTCCCGCGCGGCCCCGTGGCGAGGGCGGGGCCAGGGAGACGCGGCGGCCCTGCCGGCCTTGGCAGTGGTTGGTGCCGGGTTAGCGTCCGTGGGGTCGGAGTCTCCCTCCTCCTCGCAGCACCTGGCTCTTCGCAAGCGGCACCCGGCGAGCCCTTCTGCCCCAGGCGCACGGCCCCTCCACCTGGCTCTTCCGCCCGCGCCTTCTCACTGGGTCACTCTGAACCGCCGCTGCCACCCTTAGAGGACCGCTTGACTTCCGTCTGTGGGCCTCCACTGTGGCAGGACTCCGGAACTGGCTTTTGTCCCCTGCCAAACTAAAGACCCTGCCTAGCCTGAGTCCTCCAGCTCCGGGGCCCCACCCTCCCCATCCTTGCTGGGGGAGAGGGAGGCTGCCCGACAGAGGGTGCCCAGGCATCTCCCACCCGCACTGTGGGTAGGGGGCGTGCGGAGGGTCGGCACCGGGGAAAGGCCAAGGTGCAGGAGGCTTCGGGGAGGAAGGGCACAAGGTGGCCTGAGGGGGCTGGGGGTGGGGGCTGGTAGAGTCTGCCGCAGGAGAGATGGGGAAGGGCAGGAGGTAGGAGCTCCACCTTCAGACCAGAGCCTCTGGCAGGGTCATCTTGACATTTTTTCCCATACTCCAACTTTTGCATGTTTCCTGGAATTTCTTTTTTTTCAGAAGGGGGGTTGGTTCCCGCATTTCCACTCCTTGCCCATAGAAAAAAGCCTGGCTACACAAGGGGCTCTGATTGGCTGGTGCCTCTAGCCCCAAGTCCGTCCTCTGACAGCAGGATGGCAACTCTGAAGTTCTAAGTCCCAAGGAAAATGGCAGTGGCTGGGCTGGACTGTGGCCGGAAGACCACTAGGCCTCGGTTCTCAAGCACCATCTCTCTGGCTGCAGCTGGGCCCTTCGGCTGGGAGCCAGTGTTGCACTCTGGCTGTCCCCACGGGGTCACATCACCTCCGGAGAGGAGGAGCTGCTGGCACCTGGCAGGGAAAAGGATGGTGAAGTCTTTTTCAGAGGACCCCAGTGGTCTTTCCTGGTCACTGGCTTCTGGAGAGACAGTTTTGGGCAGAAGCTACCAAAGACAGGACCCTTCTCCTTTCTCCGGGGCATCTAGATCAGCCTTGGATCTCTGCCTGCGTCATCTCCCTCATCCAAATCCCTAGAAACGCTCCAACTTGCCGAGCTGCAGGGACTCTGGCAGCTGGAGATGGAGTGGGGGCATGGAATTCTGGGGAGAAGCAGCAGTAGGGGCAGGAGCCTGGCCCATTCTGAGTGTGTGGGAGCTCAGAGGAGCTAGACTTGGGACCTGTAGGGGCAGAAAAGTAAACTGGGGCCAGAACTCGGTAGGCCCCAGACACCAGGCTGAGGAGTTCATAAGACTTCACCCGGAAGACCTGTTCAAAGAGCAGGGAGAAAGGGAACTAAAGTGGTGCTTTCGTGGTGAGGAGCAGAGTAGGGGCAGTGAAGAAACCAGGGCTGTTACTTAGGCGATGGGAGGAGAAATGAAAGAGCAGTCAGAAGCAGACACTGTCTGGCTCTCCGTGAGTTGACATCCAAGGCTGGAAGGACAATTGTGGGTGCAACTGGGGACACAGAGCAGATCTGGAAATAACTGTGATGGAGATTCAGATTGTGGAGCCAACTGCACAGAAGTGTTGCTGGTGCTATAAACGGGGGCTGCGGGCTGCCAGAGAGTGGGGAGTGAGGAGACTGGGAAGAGGGTCAAGGGCAGAGCAACAGGGAGAGCCGGTATTTAGGGAGGGAGAGGAGCAACAGGCTTCCTGGCTTGAGGGAGTGGAGGGAGGGCCATGGGGAAAGAACATGGGCAGGCCTCGGTGGGAAGAGCAGCTGGAGAGTGCAGACTAGCACGGGGCCCTGGAGCTGGTAGGTGACCTCCTTGAGCCAATAGGGGATACTAGGAAGATACTAGGGCCCCCTGATTTTTAAGGGGGGGAGGAGGAGGATGTAAACTTGAGGAAGGAGCTGGAGAGGGAAAAGCTGCAAGTCCTAGGAGAGAATAAATGATGAGCAAGGTTCCCACGCAGGGGGCTTTGGAAAGGACGCGTTTTCCCCAGGGAGGCCAGGAGGAAGAAGGCGGTAGGGAGACGGCAGCAACATGGAGTAGGTGGGGGCGTTTCCCAGGGGCGGGCTCTATTTGGGCACTCCAGGGAAGTGGGGAGTGGGGTGCAGCTCTGTGTGTGGGCAAAGCCTGAGGAGGGTGGAAGGGGCTAGAAGTGCTGGGGAGAGGACTGTGGCAGGGAGGCAGCTGCAGGGGAGTGAGGGCCGGCCGGCTGCCCAGGTGGAGGGGTGCTTGTATTTCCTGGTTTATCTCCCTCCACATGACTTTCCTGAGGGTTTGAAATGGGCCACACTGTCAGCCCAAGAAAGCCTTGTGGATGCTGCCCCCTGGGACCAGACCAGTGGTTGGGGAAGGATGGGCAGGCTGCCTCTTGAGGGGGGGGGCTGGAAGAGGGACAAGTCCTGCAGGAGGTCTTAGCAGTGACAAGTCCTGCAGGAGGCCTTAGCATTCTGTTTCTCCCCTAGAGGGGTGCAGGGGGAGAGAGAAGGAAAAACAACCCGGGGTCCAGGGCTCCAGTCAGAAACAGAGCTCCCTGGAGGACCTGTCTCCTCATCCCTCCTCACCTGGCTGTGGCAGGTCCCAGGCCACCCAACCCAAGCAGGGGGCTGGAGAGAGTTCTGTGTGTGCATGGCTGGATGGAGGCCACCTCTGTATTTCTTAAATTGTCTTCTCACTGTGCTACATGTGTCCTGGACTGTCTTCTCAACTGGGCTGTTAGCTATTCAAGGTCAAAGGTGATTTTTGTTTTCCTGTTCTCAGCACCTGTCACAGGCAGGTATGGTTTATCTTTCATCAAATAAATGAACAAACAGAAGACTAGGTGCCATGCAGAAGCCTGTGTCCCTGCCACGACTATGAGGGGGGAGACCCAGGACCTGTGCTACCCAGCTGTTTCAGCCCAGCACCTCTGCACACCTGAGAAGACACGGGTATGGAGGTGGCAGGGCCTGGCCTTGGCCAGTCCTGGGGCAGCTATGGCTCCAGGCCTTACCTCTTACTGTCCTTCTCGCAGGGCTTCCTCCACCTTGGGGGTCTCCTGCCGCCTTCCCCGGAAGTCTTCATCTGAAAAGCAGAGGGAAGCTGCCTCACCCTGCACCCTGCAGGGCCTTGCTCAGGTAGGTCCCTCAGACTGGGCAAGAGAGCTGACCCAACTCTCTCTGCCGCCTTCATTCGGGACACATGCCAGACCCCGGGTGGAGGATGCATGGATCTGGTGAGAGAGGCAGCGGGACCTCCAGGTGCTGGCCTGGCTCCATCACTGAGCTCTGAGACATTGGACAAGTTCTTCCCTCCTCTTTGGGGCTCAGTTTCCTCATCTACAAATGGGACCAGGAAGCTGGACTATCTAGATAACCTCCAAGCCCCTTCTTGTCCTTGTTTCTAGATGTCTCCTGAGCCCCAAAGGGTCCCTCTTACTCTGTGGCATGAGGATTGGGGTTCATTTGTGGGCCTGGCAAGGTCTTCTGGCTCACAAGGCCTTTGGAAGGGACTGGGTGAAAGTAAAAGGCCCACAAACTGCCAGGGAATGGGGAGTGAGACTTCGAAGAGGGAAGTCCTGCCCAGCGCTTGGTTCTCAAGTGGACGCCCTTCCATGTGGGTAAGTCTATCTGCCCCCTTCACACCCAAGAGAATATTCTAGAGACGGTACCTGGCACTTTGTGTTGCAGGTAGAGATCTAGGTGGAGGTGGATCTAGGACCCCCTTTCAAGGGTTGCAGGAAGGGAGAAACAATGTGGACCAAGTGGGGAAGATCCATTTCTTTGGGTCACCTGCCCACTAACCCTTGACATGTCCCCAGGATGGGTGCTCCCTCCCTGACAGGTTGGGTCCACCCGTGAAACACCCAGGACTTCCTCTGGGAGAGTCACCAATCACAGGCAAGTTGCAGCTTAAGTTCCCCTCCTGTCTCACCACAAGCGTGGCCCTCCACGTCGTCCAGGAGATTGGCTGTGGACGCGGCAGCCCCTAGCCTGGCGCGCCGTTCAGGAAAACTGTCCCAGGGATGAGCAGGCACTGCCCTAGTCCTCCCAGTTCCCTGCCCCACCCTCGAAGCCCAGGAGGCAACCCCCACGCCCACCTGACCCCCAGTACTGCCTCTGCTAGCTCCTTGCAGCCAGGCCCTGACACTCCCACCCACGCCCATCTCTGGGGACAGAAGTGACTCTCTCCCTGCTCCCCTTTGGCTGTTAAGCTTCTAATATCCTGGGCCCTGTGCAACAAGCACGGATGGGAGTTCAGGTGAAAACGTGGAAAACCTTATTTCGACTGGAAATAAGGAACTGAACATGAGCAGGCAAGGCCAACGTGCTTGCAATGAGGAGGATCCGTGCACCAGTTCTGCTGGAGAAATCAGGGACAGGTTTGCTGATTTGGGGAGAAGAACCAATATTTCTCCCAAGATGCAGACCAAAAAAAGCAAGAAGTTGTAGGACAACTTCTGAGCCTGCAGAAGGATGACAGGAGCTGTAGCCCGGCACCCTAGGCCTGGGTCTTGGTTGGCACAAGGAGATGGGCAGTGGGCTGGTGGCCTGGCTCATGGGAGGCAGAGGAGGCCACCACCCCTGTAGGAGGTCACAGCCTCGGGGATTCCAGCAGGGGTCTTGCCCAGTGACCCTTGGTTTCCACCTCCCCCACCCAGTGCCAGCTGGAAAGGATACGACTGATGCTTCAACAAGTGTTTCCTCTTTGACTTCCTCATTTTGGTCTTTTCAGAGAAGGCTCGGGCGAGTTCAAACAGCTTCCTCCGGGTGGCTGGGGGCAGAGGGACCTGTGAGTCATTCTCTCAGCAGCCAGAACACCAGATGGCCTCCCCCCAGGTATAGAGAGGCTGGGGAGGACCAGCCCCCAGCCCCAGGTAGGGGAAGGGGGAAGACCAGGGTGGGAGCCTGGAGAGCTGGAGGTGACAGGAATCACAATCCGTGGATGCCACCCCGGGAGCCAGGCTGCCATCCCAGGTCGGCCTGCAGGGGCAGCACAGGCCACCATGAGCCAGACCTAGGGACAGCCGGCAGCCCAAGATCCGGGTATTCCTTCCCCAGGCGAAACAGACTGCATCGCATCTTGGCTTGCTTTCCCGCTGCCACTGCCTTCCCGCCCCTCCCCCAGCCACCCCCGGAGTTGGTTCTGGGATCTCCATGACTAATCTGAGATTTTCCCTGAAAGGGAGGCTGAAAGGAGGGCAGCCTTGTGCAGGCATGGTTGTGGGGCTGCGTGGTGGGGAGGAAAGGGGGCATTCGGGGCTGGCAGAACTTGGTGGAAAGACATCCCCCACCCTGAAGGCCTTCCGCCCCCACAGAGCGTGGCTCGGCAAGGGCGTCTGCGCAGAGTGTGAGAGTGCCACAGTCGGGCCGAGGCATGTGCAGCGCATTATTTTTCTGCAGACAGCTGGCTCAAGAGGATTTAAAACTTAATTTGTATCCAGACTCAGCTGCAGAGGGAAGTGAGGCAGGAAGGCTGAGGAAGCCAGCCTGGAATTAAAATGTCACTTCGGTTCACCAAGAGTCGGCCACACTACACATTCTGGGTGGCTCCCCCCTCCCGTGGCCCCTCTCAGAAGAGCAGGAGGGGAAAGGGGGTGTAGGCCGGACTCACACTTTCCCATGTGCTTCAGCTTGTCCCTGAATAAGGCATCTTCAGACACAGCGGGGTTGGAGTCACCAGTTCCTGGAAGGAGGAGACACCGGTGAGGGCCGGCCAGAGAGGAGAGCACCACTCATCTGAGGAGGGGTGCAAAGAGCCGGCTTCTTCCCTGACCCAGGGGGCGTTTGCAACAGGGAGGACACTTGGGGCTCTGGGAGCACTTCTTCCCCTCCGTGGGCCTCAGTTTCCTCCTTTGTAAAAATGGGAACTGTCTCATGGTCTGCTGTGTGAGTGGAGAGCCGGAGGGTCCCCACTGCCCGCTTCTCTGACTAACTCTACAGTTCCAGAAGTCATGTTGGCAGCTTGAAAGCAGCTGCGGTGGGAGGATGTCCACCACGGAGGTCGCCAGCTCTCCCCACACTCAAGAGCAGGCCGTTAAACGTTCATCGGTATGCCTCAGGCCTGCCTGCATCCGACACTCGGGTGACAGGGTGACGGTACAGAGCTGGCATTCGCCTGAGGCGAGTCCCTTCTCCTTCCTTCCAGGCTCAGCCTCCTCCATTCCTCCTCCCAGACACAGGGTTTGTGGCTACTTAGTGAGTAGGAATGAGAGTGGGGCTAGTCCTAGAGCCAGAACCCAGCCGGGCCACCCAGGCTCCCAGCTCAGTGAGCACCCACTTGGGTCTCTCACCGCCCATGCTAAAGCTCCTGCTCTCCATCCTGCCACGCGGCTAATCCCCAGTCACCTTGCCTGCTAAGTCCCCTCTGAGTCATTCTGATCCATCTCAGCAGCCCTGGTGTCTCCAGTTAATTCAGGATCAAGGACAAGAGGCTCTGGTTAAAACTCCCAGATGCACATCTGGTGGGGCCTAAGCTGCCAGCCTGTTGCTTATGAATCAGTTCCACAGGATTTTCTCTCCTCGAGCTGGGGTCAACTGAACTCCTGCCCTGCACCCCCTCCACTACACCCTGTAAGGGCTGAGCTCCCCCTGCCCCTGTAAGGTCTGTTCCAGGTGAAAGCTGCTGAGTCTTCCTTTGGGAGGGGGGCAGGCAGCCTGGGTGTGGGGGGCAGGGCGCTGCTGTTTGCACACAGGTGCAGAGTCCAGGTGCCACGTGTGGAACCAGGGACTCCTGGGCCTGGGCCCCATGTTCCCAGCCCCGCTCAGCCCTCTGGTCCGTGCTTCCCAATAGCACTGCTGCCCCGACCCCAGGTCCTCCTCCAGCCATTAAGACACCTGAGCAGAAGGGCCTGGCCCTCTTTTGAGGCAATACTCGCTTCTCACCACCTTGAACACAAAGCTTGAAATTTCTCTTCCTCCAACACCTAGGGTGGGGCCTAGCGGATGGCAGGTATTCCCCCCTACTGAATGAATGAATGAATGAATGAAGTCTCCCAGGTTAACCCTGCCCTCTTCTCCATGCATTTGCTATGATCAACAAGTATGTCTCTGGCTTTGCTGGTCTGCTCTGCCTGTTTTGGGGACTTATTTCCTGCCAAGACCCTAAGTTCCCCCAGGCAGAGACCAAGCCCTATATGTCTGTAAGTCCTTCCTGTGTCCATTCCCCACCACGGGATGTTGCAAGGTGCAGGGTGCCCTGCTAGCCTGTACTGCAAGCATGGGTTGGGAGTTCAGCCTGCCTGTGCTGGCCAATCGGAGCTGTGGGCTCAGAGACCCCAGCAGCGGCTGGACTGGTAAGAACCCAGTGCTGCTCAGTGGAACAGCCACCTCACTCCACGATGGGTGCAGATGTGGGGGCAGAAGTGGCCCCTCCAGCCTACTGAGGAGGCCAAAGCCCTCACCCTCTATTTCCCTACTCTACCCATAAACTCCAAATATGCAAAGCAATGTTGGGGTGTGAGCCCCCTACACCCTCCAGGCTCCTCTCTCCGGAAGGCAAGGTTACCTGGGACAGGAGAGGGAAAGCTGAAGTCGTTTCCGACAGCCACACTGCTGGACTTGGATTTCTGGGATTCGTATTTCAATCGATCTGGAAAAGAATCATGTTCTTGGGTCAGGGAAGTTAGCTCCTGGGCTCCCAGGGGCAGGCTGGGCTGAGACGCAGGAGGTTGTTGGAGGCTGAAACCCTAGAATTGCACATGAGCACACACAGGCACACAAATATGCGTGTACACGTCGTTTACTGGCTCTCAAAGAACCAGTGATGACAGAAACTACTGCCTGACAGCCACCTGGAATGTTGGAATGTCAGAATTAGGAGGACCCTGAGGGATCATAGAGTCCAAACCCCCTAATTTAAAAGGAAAAGCCCTGAGACCCCCAGCACCTTTGCTGCAGAGCAAGGGCCAGCCTCGAGCCTCCTTGGTTGCAGCCCACGTTCCCCTGCATGACCCGTGCCCCCCCGACCGACACACCACCAGTCACACACACATAAGCCCTGGCCATGTGACTGTCACACGGACAGACCTCCATGGCCTTCCGCTGCCTGCAGCCCAAACACACTCCACCCTGCAGGGAGAGAGAGCAGCCAGGCTAGGGAGCAGGGTCTCCCACCCAAAGAAAATACAAATACCCCCAAAACTCGAGAGCCCCTGCTCTAAGGTCCTCCTCTCAGGGAGTCTTTCCCACTCTGGCACCCATGGACCCCGTCGCTGTGTTCCCAGGGCCCCAGACACATCACGCCTGCCTGTGGCCATGCTCTATTGTCCCCGTCACCCCTTGCCAAGGGGCCCGTGGCTGGCACAGAGCAGAGGTGCGAAGGGAAGGAAAAGACCTAAGAGAGCACATCCTCTTCCTCTGGGTCTTGAGGGAGGAGGGGTAGCTGGTGACCCAGGTCCCTGTGGGCAGAATTCTGGGGCTCCCACCACGGGATGGTGGGAGTTGTGCCTTGGACAGAAAGCACCGGGTACCCTTGGCCTCCAGCTCAGAGCTCTTCCAAGGCCAAGGCCAGCACCAACTCCCTTCTCTAGCCATGGAGAAGCGGCCCCAGCACCGCCCTCCCCAGCCTACCTCTCTCCAGGGCAAGGAGGAAGTCGCGGTTGCGCTGCAGCTCCTTCATGAACTCCTCGTTCTGCAAGAAGAGCGCGATCCTCTCGTCCTCCAGGTACTGCTTCCAGCGGCTCTCCTGGTCTCGGGGCCCAGGCCCGGCCGTGGCAGGCAGGCCTCCCTCTCTGCTCACAGGCTTGGGTCCTCCCGGGTTACCCTGAAGAGGGGAGTGAGCATGTTGAATGCCTACTCACAGGGCACCTGTTGCACAAACATCCACAAACATCTGGTGTACACGTGCCCTTTCCCAGGATCCTCCAGCCCCACCCTCAGGCCCACACCTCCTAATGCACCAGCCAAAATCCCACGGAACAGCTCTCTCTGCTGGGGAAGCAGCAAGGACATAAAAACTATTTCCCTTCCCCACTGTAGACCACCTCTTGGTGGTCTTCGTCTACGCCCTGAATAGTCCTGAAAAGGGATTTGCAAACTGCTCACCAGTGCCCACGTGGATTCCCAAACTCAGCTCAACCCTCCCTGTACCAGCAGCCTGCAGGCCCAGCCTGTCCCCCCTGCAGGGGCCCCTTGGGGCAGGCCAACGTCTGGGGAGAGGCTGCCTCGGCCCCTTCCCAAGGGAGGGAAGGAGGTACCCTGGCCCTCTGCCACTGGCTGCCGCATGCCCACCTCCCTCCAGCCTGGGGTGCCCCTGCAGGAGAGAGCCGCCCCAGGCTGCCACCTTCCCTGGGCAGAACAGGAAACCTCCTGGCCCAGACGGGAAGTGAGGCTTTCGGTTCAGCGTTCTTTCCCTATAAACCCAGGGCAACAGAAATAGCTCAGCCGCAAATCAGGAAGTGGAACTGGCCGGCACACACTGTGTGGGCAGAGAGAGCTGCTGGACGTGCAGGTGGGAGTGGGAGGTGGGGGCAGCCCCTGGCACCTGTATGCTGTCCAGCTGCTGGGGCAGGATGCGGAGAAAGTCATCAGGGAGGTTGCCCAGCAGTGGTGGGTTCCAGTTCCGATAGCGCCTCTGGCTGGGAGGAGGTCCGGAGCCCAGTGCATCAATCCTGCCGGGTGGGAGGAAGTAGTCAAGCTAAACCCAGGCCTCCTGGGGCAGGAGGACCCCACACCAGGTCCTCAGGCAGGTGGACCCTGCTCAGAGCTTCCCATGGCCTCCACTGCCTCCAGAGCAGAGGCCCATCACCCTGCCTCCTCACTGGAGACTTCTCCATCAGCTCAGCTAACTCCCAGCCCCAGCAGCAGCGACAGTCACTGCCCTCCCATCACCCACAGCCTTCACAGGTCTCTCAACCCAGAGAGCTCTGCTCATGGTGCTAACGTGGAACGTTGTGGATTTAGACGTGGATGTTTATGAATGCCTCTAAGGACAGCAGGGATCCTGTCCTTTCATTCCTATGTCCCTAGCACTTAGCACAGTGCAGAGTTCACAGCTGCTTGAGTGATAGGTATGGCCCAGATGAACAGATACCCACGGCACCCACAGCGCGGTGCACCTGCACGTAGCTGAGCTGGGGAGGGAGCACAGGGGGACGGATGCCAGGATGTCTAGAGTAAAGTGGATCCGGGCTCCATTTCTGGCTCAGCCACCAGGTGAGACCATCCTGGGTGAGAGTGTGTTCCTCTGGGGCCCAGATTCCTCATCTAGAAACTGCTACCTCCGTGCCAAAGTGCTTGGGAGCTCCTCATGAGGCTGTGTCTTAAACAGGGTTCTGGAAAGGCACATGGTGAGGTGATCGTGGATCCCTTTCTTCCTAGGCCAGGTGCGTGGCAGAGGTCAACAGCTAGGACCCCGGTGGAGAGGGAGGGTGGGGGAGGTACACGCCCTCCCTGACCCCCAGGCTCCCGCCCTGCCGCCTGCAGGGCAGCCTGGAGCCCCGCCAGGAGCTCCCCACAGCTCCTCGGTAGCCTGCAGCGTGGCAACCGCAGGACACGTGTTCTGCTGAATCAGGGAAATGACACACGGAGGAGGCAGCTCAGGGCCCACGGTGGGGGCCGCGCTCACTCTCGGGCCTGGCTTTGATTTGGTCCCCAGCTCCAGGAATCCCGCCCGCCCCCGCCCGCCCCCTCACTGGAGGGGAGCTTTTCCGGGCTGCCGCTGACTATGGAAATAACTTCTTTTCCTTTTCTATTTTGAGCCGATGGCCGGGCGGGGGAGAGGGGACGGGGCGGGGGCGGCAGCAGACGGGATAACCAGCTGCTCAGCGCATGGCGGGAGCGCAGCGCTGCAGACCAGAGCCAAGGGAACTCCCGCACGACACCCGCTGCTCTGCAGACACGGGGGAAGGAACGGTCTGGGACTCCCAGGCCTAGGCCAGATTTCTTTCTCCATCACTCTGCCACGTTCTGTCACTGCTGGAGGCTTCATTTTTCTCCAAAGGCCTGAGAGGCAGGGGAGAGGATGCCCCAGCTCCCAGAGACTGGCAGACCACCCCCTGCAACAGGGGGGGGGTGGCAGAGGGGGATCCCCGGAGTTGCATTCAGACCCCTCTAGCCACTGAGACACCTAAGGAGGGACGAGGCCCCTGCTCTCAGCTGAGTGTCCCTTGCTGCTGGGCCCCTGGTCCCCCGAGCCGCCCGGGCCCTGGCACCAGTAGGGATGAGGTCAGCCCACAGAGAGAGCCAGACAAGGGCTCTGAGCACAGGCAGCCCAGGCACTCCATTGTGGTCGGAAAGGAATGTCAGAAATGAGATGCCAGGCAAATAAAAAACTTCCAAGGCTGTAATTTCAATGGAAAAACAGCAGGCGGCCTCCGCAGAGGGCTCCCCTGGGGAGAGCTCCCCTGGGTTTCGGAGATTGTGTTTCAGACAGACAGGCTGGGGGAGGGGAAGGAGAAAAAAGGCTGGGGAGGATCTCCAGACCAATCCTCCACCCCTAGACCCCAGAACTAGAACTTCAGGCCCCATCAGAGCCCCAGGTTTACCCACAGAACATCAGACCTGACAGAGAAGGATTTCAGAGGGCTTTCAGGCAGGATTTTTGGTAGACTGGACATGGAGGTCCACATGGGGTCAAGTCCTGTCCCCACGGCACACAGATCACCCAGGCAAAATCTGGGCCCAGGGATCCTGACGTTCCAAGCATGCTCCTCGGGATGGCCTGCCTCTCTGTGCCCCCGCAGGGCAACACCCAAGCTCCCAAACTCTGCCCATCTGCGGGCTCCTGGGCACCCCAGTGACTGGAGGTGGCAGAAGGAGGCCAGACCCACTGCCCCACTCAACTCTGACCTCCCTTGGCAGCCAGAGGGAGATTCCCAAAACACTAACCTGGCTGAGTCACTCTCCAGCCTAAACCCCTTCGGAACTCTCCGCTGGTGTGAAGGCCACAAGGTCCCAGTGGTCTGCTTGCCCCTCCAGCCTCACTCAGCCTTTAGATGCTTTGAGGGATTCCCCAGATGGTCCCTCTTCCCTGCCATGCATGTGCTGTTTCCTTTGCCTGAATGGCTGCTGTCCTCTGTCCCTATCAGACTATTGTCATTGTGGCCCTCAGGTCACAGCTTGGCCATCAGTTCTTCCAGGCAGGCTTCCCCACCCCCGTGTCCACGGCTTCCCAAGACTGATCTCCCTGGGGGGCACAGTGGGGACGAGGCAGTACTGTGTTCACCTCTGCATCACACATGGGGTTTAGCACCTGCACATTTCAGGTGACTTGATAAATGCTGGAAATGAATGTTCTGGACAGAGAGACTGGACGAGGCCCTGGAGGTGGCCTGGGGGTAGACGTGGGCCTAGCAGAGCCATCCTAGGGCAAAGGGACATGTGTGTCTCTTCTGAACACTGGCCTGTGGGGGAAGCCTCGCCGCTGGTCTCCATGTTCAGCATCAGAGCTGAACTCCGAGGCCAGCCAGTGCAGCGGGGACAGGAGGGAGCAGTAAACCACGATGACAGGTCTGTCCACACGTGGCACTGTGCTATGTGCTCAGCATCTCACTCAATCATAACTGTGCTGAGGTGGAAATTAGTATTCCCATTACAGAGGAGGCAAACAAAGCTCAGAGAGCTTAAGTAATGAGCCAAAGGCCACAGAGCAGAGGCACCTGAAGAATCGGAAGTCAGGCAGCCGCAGGAAGAGGGTGAGGAGAGCAGGCTGCTTCTGTCGGACTCAGCGACTCCAGTTCTCAGTGCCCGCGCTCCCAGCCCAGCTAGCCTTCCATTCCTGAGCCAGGCCCCTGAGCTTTACACAAAGGCAGTGACCTGCCCAAAGTCCACAGAGTCTGAAGAAGGCCTCCTGAGCCCTGGTTTAGTGCTGCGGTCACCTTCCCTCCAAGTGGGCCTCCCATCACTGGGCTGCACTGCCCCTGTCCCCTGGCCCTACCCTACCTGCTTTAGGATGAACACCCAGCCAGAGTAAGAGAGAGGACGTGGCCAGGATACCCTTGTCACGCTTATATTGGGATTCTTAGCCGGGCACAGTGGCATTGCACCTGGACACCCAGCTACTCAGGAGGCTGAGATGGGAGGATGACTTGTGCCCAGAAGTTCAAGTCCATGCTGGGCAACACAGTGAGGCAGAGACACGGTCTCTATAAAGAGTGCATGCGCCACACACACACACACACACACACACACACACACACACAGATTCTCTCTCTTACAGCCTCAGTTTTCCCTTCCAAAAAATAGGCAGAACCACTCTGCCTAACAGAAACTAAACTTTTTTGCAAAAGCATCTCAGAATATTAAAAAGAAATGTCAAAGGGAAATAATTTAGCCCTGGGCTCTGTGACCCATCCAGGGTGCAAGCCCTACCTAGGTGTTACCAGACCCCCCCAGTATAGCCTGCCATCTCCTGGTAGCACGTGTGAGAAAGACCCTGCCTCTGCTCCTGTCCCTGACTCAAAACACCACACTCCCCCCACCCCAGTAGCTTTCTAGGACTCTGTGGGCTCCCTAAGCTGCAATTACAGAGGTTTTTCTCGTTAGGGAGGTGACAGGACACAGCAGGAAAGAGTGATTAGCTTTGAAGTCACAATGAGGTGGATTTGAATTCCAGCTGTTAGTCTTGGGGAAGTCACAAGACCTTTGGAGGCTCAGTTTCCTCATCTGGGCAATGGGGATGGTGACAACAGTGCCCACCTCCGCTTTAAATGTGATGGTGTAGGTAAGGAACCTGCTCAGTTGCTGGCACCTGAGTGTGCTTAGTAAGTGGGAGCTACACCTGTAGGATGACAGCGTTCTCCACCACCACTGCTTGGGCGCTCCCACGACCCCCAGAAGGGAGGATCCACTGGGGCGAGTACCCTGTCCCATCACCTACCCCCCCCCAGGCCTGAGTCATTCTAAGGAGCAGCAGTTCCAGGACAAAGAGGCAGCACCTCAGCTGTCAGCAGCCCCGATACAAACATGGAGCTCAGAAAAACAAGCATCTCAGAAACCCACAGGTCCCTGTTGGCAACCAGCTTCATTTTAAGCTTCCAAATTATAGTCTCTGAACTGGTAGAAGTTTCCAGGGACCTTGGAGTCTTCTCCCCTGCCTCTAGTTATCAAACTGTCCCCCCAAAAGAGACTTGGCCCCATTGCTTCAAAATCCCCACAACATCCTTAGTCCAAGCATGGCAAACAGCCATTCTTCCATCAATCACTGGTGACTGCGTGGGAGTGCTGTGTTGAGGAGGATGCTGAGGTTCTAGCTGACTCAGCAGGAAGGAGCACAGTGATTGATTAGCAATGTTTGCCACAGGCTTGGGATGGGAAGTGTCAGCAAACATTCCATGTGTTTGTCATTCCTACTCTGGCATCTCCCTTGACTATAAGCTCCTGAAGGCAGAGGCTGAGCCTTATTTACTCTGCGTCCCCTAGGGACCAACCAGCCTAGAATAGGAATTTAGTAAATGTTTGCTTTTGCAATCCTTACCTTTGAAAATTCCTTCTGGTTTCTAGCTAAAATGTTTCTTGCTGCAGTAGAAGCCTATTCTTGGTGGAGCAATACACTGAAGGGTGTATTATTCCTGCTGTGTTTGTACACAACCCCAACCTCTGGTCCCCTTCCCTGCTACCCTGTGCTCTGGGACAAGATGGATTCTCACCGGGGAGGCGGTGTGGGGGGAGCCAGAGGGTAAGGCCGGTCAAACATGTGCATGTGGTAGGCTGGAGGGGAGTACACAGGTGGGGGCTCTTCATCGGAGCTATCAGGTTCCAAAGTCCTTTCCAAGATCTAAATCAGAGACAGCAAAGAAAGACATATTAATAATACTTCCTCAAATTTAAATAACATTCAGACAAACGCAAGTGTGGGCGAGGATGTGTAATGAGGGAAGTCTGTGCCTTGCTGGTGGGCGTGTCACTTGACATAGCCACCACTTTGGCAAACTGTTTGGCCTTCGCTGCTAACGCTAAACACTTGGCTAGCTCTGATTCCAGCATACTTGGAGGACATGAAAGTGCATGTCCCCAAAAGAATGTTCATAGCAGCATTATCCATCCAAGTAAGGTGCAGAGACAGGCAAAACAAACACACAGTGATGGAGGCAGAGCAAGGTGCCCGCTGGTGGGAGGGTGGGGATGGGAAGGGGCGCAGGGGGCTTCCAGGTGCTACCGATGGCATTTCTTCATCTGGTGCAGATACTGTGGCTTGTTACGCTGCGAAACTTTGCTGAGCGGTACACTGTGATTCACGTACTCTCCAATACATGCGCTAGTCTTTGATGATAACATCACTCATACCTTCTCTCAAAGTACTTTCACATATGCTATCTCATCTTAACCTCAAACGACCTGGCATGGTAAGATATGGATCAGTAACCCCATTTTTATAAATGAGGAAACTGAGACCTAGGCCAAGTGATACGGCAAAAGCCACACACTTCTTAGAACTGAGTCTTCAACTTGAACTATAAGGGTGGCTGCCTTCGGGGGCAATGACTACACACCAGGTTGGACTCTCGGGGCAGACAGTGGCAAGGGCAGTGCCCAGGATGGCCACTCTTTCTTGGGGACTCCTCTCTGCAGCCAGGAGCCAGGAAGAGGGACAGGGAGAGGCCACAGGCTGGGCAAAGTCTGGGGTTCCTGCCACGTGGACTGACCTGGACCCTTCTCCAGAGGTACACAGAGGAGGCCGGGGCAGGAGGCAGCTACACATCCGCACCTGGCCTCCTGTTCCCTCCTGTAGCTCTGTTCCCATCTCCTCCAAGACCAAAGAACACGGGAAGGGCTCAGAGGCTGTGAACCGGCCCGAGGCCCCAGACCCGAAGTGAGTTTGCAGAAGCCACTACTAAAGCTGCCTCTGCACGTCTGGGCTGGGCCTGGCTGCACTGGCACTGTCTGCTCTGAGGCCAGCCGTGCCCAGCACACACGGCCTCACAGGGACACGCTGGGGGGTGGGTGGGTGAGCCTGCCCATGTAAGCACTTACGTACACACACACACACACACACACACACACACACGCTGGAATGCTGTGTGCACACATAGCCAGCCCGACCCAAGGAGGCCTCCCACCCTGGAATGCACTAACGTTCTTTCCTTTGAGGCGGGAAGTATTTAAACAGATGCTTTTGCAGGAAAAAAAGAATGTGGCTGCTTGGCGGGCCACTGCTCTGTTTATCCCAAATTTCCACAAGAAGGGAAAAAAAAAAAAAGGGGGAGAACACTGGAGGCTCCACTCCTGTTCACTGGCGAATCTCTGGTGCCTGGCGCAGGACGGTGGCTCGGCAAGCACCTGGTGCCTAAGGAGAACTGGGTGCTGCACCCCCACGCCCACACGCCCTGTTTCCCCCACCCCTTTGCTCTGAGGACCAGGGTTCCAGGCTGGGGCCTTGAGGCCAACAGCGGCCAGCCTCAGTGGCTGCCTGGCGTGGGTGAGGAGGTGAGGAGAGCTCAGTAGGAACTATTCCAGAAGGAAGCTGCCTGGGGTTTCTGCTGAGCACGGCCACTGCAGTCACCACTCAGGGCGGTCAGCCCCGCCCCCACTCCAGGAGGCGCTCTCCTGCTCCTCCAGGCAACCTCCTGGGGCAGCCAGAGCAGGTGTCCCCCAGAGGCTCCCAGAGAGGGCTGGGGAACATGGGGAGGCAGGCAGCTGGCCAGGCAGAAGGGCAGATCCCAAGTCCCAGGGAGAGTGACCCCAGCCACCTCCCCTGCTTCTTTCCTCCCACCCCCACCAGCCACAAAGAGCTTGTTCTTCTGGCTCTAAAGGTGCTGAAGTTTCGGGCTCCACAGCCTCCTGGCTTAACTCACTGTGGGTGATGGATGCCTGCCAGGTGCTCCAGGGGGCAGGGGCTAGGCCATTTATCTGCCGGGAGGTATTTCTCTGTGGCAAGGATACCCCTCAGGCCAGCCCCCATCCATCACCCCCGAGAGGGGGCTTTCTCCAGTCAGCAGTTATTGTCCTTCCAGCTGCTGCTCATAAATTTTCCGGAGCACTTTCCGCTGGCTCAGGAGCTGCCTGCCAATGCGCCCAGGCGGAGCTCCAAAGGTGGGGGTTGGGGAAACCGCCAAGGCAGGGGAGGGGTGCGAGAAGAGGCTGGATTTGGAAAGCGAGATTCTTAGAAAAACAGAAGCACGCACACACGCTGCAGGCCTACCTAGGTGTGGTGACGGCTTGCAGGACTCACAGGGCTGTGGGGGCCGTGGACGAAGGAGGAAGCTTTATCTTACCTGCCACACTGTCAGAACAAATGAGATGGAGAAAGGGCCAGCGCTCGCAGAGAACTTTCTTTCCAGCTCACACTTGCAGGATGTACAGTTGACCCTCCAACAACATGGGTTTGAACTACGGGGTCCACTGACACGTGGGTTTTCTTCTGCCTCTGCCACCCCAACACAGCAAGGCCAAGCCCTCTTCCTCCTCCTCCTCCTCAGCCTACTCAACGTGCAGACGCTGAGGATGAAGACCTTTATGAGGATCCACTTCCACTTAATGACTAGTGAATATGTTTTCTCTCCCTTACGGTTTTCTTAATAACATTTTCTTTTCTTCAGCTTATTTTATTGTATCAATATGGTACTTAATTCATATCACATACAAATTATATGTTAATCAACTGTATGGCTTCTGGCCAACAGGAGGCTATTCATAATTAAGTTTTTAGGGAGTCAAAAGTTATATGCAGATTTTTGGCTGCCAGGAGGGTCAGTGCCCTTAACTCCCTCGTTGTTCAAAGGGTCAACTGCATCTGCAAACACACACATACCCCCTCTCCCTCTCTCTCATCCCTCCTTTCTACAAAGAGGATCTGGGGTTTCCTACACTCCCTCCACTGGCTGATCCAGGCAGACCAAAGGAGAGAAACATAGTCTCCCTCTGTACAAAGACAGCAGCGGTATTTATTCATATTCGACATTCCCTGAGTGCCTCCCATGTGCCTGGACTGTCTTGGGTGCTGCAGGTGACACAGGGATGAGCCAGATGTCTTTGCCCACTGGGCTTCCCCTCCACTGAGAGACAGAAGTCCCAGCAGCAGCCACTAACAGAGGAGAGCAAGGATGCCTGGCCCTGCAGGGTGACTGATTAATGCAGAGTGACTATCTGTAGGGTCCTGTTGAGAAGGGCTCTGAGGCCCTATCTGGGTCTAGGTTTTCTCACTGTAAACGAGGGTAATAATAAGACTGCATGTCACAAAGTTTGTGAGGATTAGGAGACATGATACATCTGAAGCTCTTAAAATGGTGCCTGGCACAGGTTCATCTGTTGGGTTCTTGTCTTGTCCATGGCTGTATGTCACAGATGCCCCTGCAGGCAGAAACCCTGTCAACTGACACTCTATGTGCCTTGCTGAGCCCCGCAGGCTCTGCGGAGACTGGAGAGCCAGTTGTGCACTGAACTCTTGGGTGAGGCTGGGAAGGACCAGCAGATGGGCCTTGATGCCATGTGGCAGTGTGGCGGTCCCCTCTCCCCAGCCACTCCCTGGAGAGACACAGCAGTGAAAGCAGAACCGCTGGGGGATGGCTCACTACCACCCCCATCACTCCGTGGTCAGAGGGATTTAACTGGCAAGTCTCAACTTTCACTCCCCTCCGAGGCTCCCTGTGCTCTCCCGATACAGCCCCCCAGTCTTTTTCTCAGCGAAGGGCCTCATCATCCTCCCTGGTCTCCTCTCACTCCAGGACCCTGACAGTCCCCTATCCAGGCATGTGCCATTTCACCTCTGAGCCTCTGCATGAGCGGTTCCTCTTGCCTGCACATCCTTTCTCTGGCTCCACTCTTCCTTCAGGTCTCAGCTCAGCCATCCCCTCCTCTGGGAAGCCACCCCTCCTCTCTGCTGCTTCCAGGTCTCCCACGGCAGCACTTACCACTCCCGGCTGTCAGTGCCTGACTCTGGCCTCTGGTCCACACTGGCCTGGGAGCTCCAGGAGGACAGAAACATTGTCTGACTTGGCCAAGGTGGACCCTCAGAAGTTCAAGAGACTTCCTTGCAAAATACATACTAGAGGACTCCAGGCCTGGAAGTAGGATTCAGTATGTTGGGGTGGGGCCCAGGCATCTGCATTTTTAACAAGCACCTTGATTCTGATGACCCCTGACTCAGAGGTACCATGCCTGGCACACCGCTGAGTGGGTGCTCAGGGTTTGTTGAATGACTGCATGATTTCTGCCCATAAAAGGCAGCTGGTTGGTGGTACAGTTCCCCAGGGGAAGTAAGGCTGCTTGCTAGTTAGAACTCAGACGGAAATAACCCGGGTCCTCTAAGAGTGCGGTCCCCAGCCCCCAGGCTGCGGACCATACAGGGGGTTCATAGCCTGTTAGGGACTAGGCTGCAGAGCTCTGCCACCCCCACCCCTACCCCCTGTCCTGGAAGCATTGCCTACATGAAACTTAGGAACCCAAGGCTGCACGGCAGGTGAGCCGCGGACGGATGGCGTATTTACCCGTAGTTGGCATCACCGCCTGAGCTCCTCCCCCACCCCCGTCCGGGGAAAAACTGTCTTCCATGAAACCGGTCCTTGGTGCCAAAAAGGTTGGGGACCGCTGCTCTAAAAGGTCCAAACAGGTGGCTGGAGCTGGTAGTGAATTATCCGGGCCGCGCCCCTACCTCCGGGGGAATGCTATCCTCTGAGTCGGAGCTGTCCTCGTAGACGCTGCCGCCACCCCCCTCCAGGTTCATCTGCAGCAGCTGGTCGATGGTGGCGTCCACGGCGCCGCTGTTGGCGCGCAGCACGCACTCGATGATGTCGTAATCCATGTTGGGGAACATGGTCTTGAAGTCGTCCATGGCCTGGTTGAACTCCAGGCGGCGCACCTGGCGGGCCGGCCGGCTGTTGTTGAGCTCCTGCGGGGCTGCGGCCGCGCCGCCCCCGGCCCCGGGCCCGCGCGCCCCGGCCGTGCCGCTCCCGCCGCCGCCGCCGCCGCCGCTGCTGCTCCGACGGAACAGGCTGGTCATTTTGCGCAACCGCTTGGGGAAAATGTTTCCAGCCAGCCGCGAAGCCCGTTGCCCAGGGTCCCTCCACCGTCAGTCGCTTGCTTGCTCCGCCGGCTCGGGAAGCTCACTCCTGCGGCTCCTCCGCCCCCCAGGGCGGCGGGGTGGGAACGGGCTGCTGGGGGCTCCTTGTCAGGACACAACAGGCACGGGGCCCCAGGCAGCCCTCAGGGAGCAATCCTCGCGGGGCGGCGGCATGCGGGCCTGGGCAGTGCTGGGGCTGGACAGCCGGTCACCCACACCACCGGGGCATCCTGGCGCCCGCTCCACGGACGGTCCCACCTGAAACCCAGAAGGACAGAGTCAGGGTAGGGGGCAAATAAACATGCGCTCAGGGTGGCAGCCAAGGGCTATTAAGAAATGAGGGCAGGAGGGGTAACCCCTACCACGCCCAGAGGAGACCTGCTTCTTTCTGCTTCCTCTCCAACTGCAATTAAGCAGCGACACCAGTTAGCAAGGGCTTCCTCTAAGCCATGTTCCATCCTAAGTGCTCTATATGGGCTAACTCATGCAAACACTACGAGTTAGTGGCTAGTATCCCCATTTTACAGATGGAATAACTGAGGCATAGATACTGAGGAAGTGGAAGAGCTGGGATTTGAATCTGGGACATACAGCCCCTGAGCCCCTGGTCTCTACAAGTACTGGAAGGATGGCTGAAGACCTGTTTGGGGCAGGAGCAGCTCTGTACCGATGTCCTGCCTCTCTGGTCTCCAGTCCCATACAGTCCCTGATTCCCTCATCTTCCTACATCACTGCCCCACATTGAGATCCCACAACCAGGGCATCCACCCACTGCAGAGCGCCACTGAATCCTGGGGACAGCAGTGCTGAGAAACAGGAGTCCCCAGTGCCACAAGGAGCTTCCAACCTGAGAGAGGAAACGTGGTTTCCAACCTTCAGGAGCCTCAAGCTCATAGGGCAAGGAGCCCAGTTCCCACTCTTGGAGAACTCCTGTCAGGCCCTAAAACTCAGTCCACTCCCCTGAGAAGCCCCAGCCAGCCCAACAGAGAGAAGCAGAGGGACTCCAGGTCACTGTCAATCCCTGGACTTCATTGTCCTCACCCCAATGGCAGGCTGGCATGTTTTATTTATATCAAAAACACATTTGTTTTTATGGAACACTTAGTGTCCTTACACATTAATAAAAACACCCCAGGCCGGGCACGGTGGCTCATGCCTATAATTCTAGCACACTGGGAGGCCAAGGCAGGAGGATCATTTGAGCTCAGGAGTTCGAGACCAGCCTGAGCAAGAGCGAGGCCCTGTCTCTACAGAAAAAAATAGAAAGAAATTAGCTGGACAACTAAATATATATATATAATATATTATTATAATATATTATATATATATTTAGCCGGGCATGGTGGCACATGCCTGTAGTCCCAGCTACTCAGGAGGCTGAGGCAGAAGGATCGCTCGAGCCCAGGAGTTTGAGGTTGCTGTGAGCTAGGCTACCACCACGGCACTCTAGCCCAAGCAACAGAGCGGGACTCAAAAAACAAACAAACAAACAAACACCCCAGAAGTTTCTTTTCAAAGATGTCTTGAGAAACCACGTACATCGTAAGTTCTGTTCTTATCCCCACCAAACCCAGTTCCCCAGGCCCCAGTGTCAGCACAGGGTGCGGAGAACGTGTGTAGACAAGACTGAAAATCAAGCACAATTAGGGACTGAAATCTGCAGCAGAAAACCATCCGGCCCACTCAGAACCAGGCACGCAAACCACTGCCAAGGTTGCATTTCCATTGGTGCAGACAACTGAGCAGAATGTGTCTAAAAACATCTCGTTCTGACTTTCTCATGCTTACTCCAAGTTTTAAAGTAATTTTGTTAATTGTAGAAAAGTAGCAGCTTTATTTTAAGGGACTGTTCCATCAAAGGATACTCTTAAGTTTGATGAAACAGGTGCAAACTTGTTTTCCCTTTTCTAGGATTTGGGGTCACAGTCTTAACAGCTGATATAGAAATATTCCTGTGGGCAAATCAATGTGATCTTCCTCTCCCACCCCTGAGAAAACATGTTCACACTCTACTGTGTCTACATCTAGATATTTTTTCTCTGCATACGCTACCATATGTATGAATTTATTTTGTTTAACACATTGACTGCCACCCTAGAAGAAAAAAATGTTTCCCTTGGGGCCACAGTGTTTTATTATGAAAATAGAATAAAATGTTCAAAAACCAAATGATCCTTTCTAATTTAATGAAAAACAAAATATATTGATTTCTATTCATTTAATCCACATTTTTAGAATTAACTTGTCAATATTAATTGTAACAATAAGAACATCAACAAGTAAGATTTTTAGGAACCAACTGTTTTGCTTCACAAGGTCCCAGGCTTCAAACTAATGTGAGTTAAATACAACTCACGCGGCAGTTAATGTGTTAAATGTGATCAAACCATAAATTCTACTATGCAGCTAGTTTTTTCCACTTAATAATATATTGTGGCCATCTTCCCATGTCAGAACATATAGATCTCCTTCATCATTTTTAGTGCCCGAGTAGTGTTCTGTTGACTGAGTGAAGCATGATTTATCATCCAACTCCCTCTGCCCCATCTCCTCCCAGATGAGCCAGTCAGAGCACAGAGAGGCCAAAGCCATTTCACAAGGAGACACAGAGGGATGGCCTCAAATGATGAGTCCAAGAATCTCGTTATGAGAATGAACACAGGAAGACAGCCAAGTATGACATGGCTTCTCACAGCTGGCTTTAGAAAGCCCGGCCCCCTGCACCCACACCTCCCGCCAACCCCCACATATCAGGTTGGAGGCTCTGCCAAAGTGCCCTCCAACATGGGGCTCCAGCCCAACAGCTGCCTTTGTCCTGGGCTCTGGGGACCTGCCTTGTGGCCTCTAACACAGACATCAGGCCCAGAAGGCCCCAGAAGCCAGTGCCCTGGGCTGTTGTCTGCGGCCATAGTGTCATCACACACAGGGGTCAGTGACTTGTGCTATGGCCCTCTGGAGTAAAGCCACCAACTTCCTTCCTGCTTGTCTGATACTTTAGTAAGAGAGGAGGGACCTGGCTCTCACTTTGTCAAAGCCAGTCCCTTGCAGAAAGATGCCAGGGCCTGGCCCACCCCCAGGGGAGCAGAAAGGAAGATGGCAGGGCCTCTATGTTCCCCATTCACAGCCCTCTGGACAGGTCCCTTGGGCTCTGGGCCTGCGTGTTGAGAAGCACAGTGAGCGTGCCCCGGTTCAGACCCAGGCTGCAATTCTGCTCTGCCACTCCCCAGCTGTGGGACCGGGACAAGTCTCCTCTCCTCTCTGTGGCCCAGTGCCCTCAGCTGTGCACACCCCTTCTGGGGCTTCAGTGGGAATGAAACAAGATAATCCCCAGCACAGTGCCTGGAACGTGGCTGGCCGCATTCTTGTTGTCACTGCCCAGAGGCTGGTGAGGAGCCAGGGGCAGGGGGTAAACTGGCCACGCTGCCCCCCAGGGTGGGGGGACCCTAGGGGCATCTTCCCCAGCATCTGGATGTTAATCCCTAGGATTCCTTCAGCCCTCTGGAATAAAATACTGATCCTCGCAGCCTAGGGGAGGGCCTGGCTGGCCTGGGCAGCTGGCGAGACCACAGCTCAAGCAGCCTCTTCCCTTCACCCCGGGTGAGAGCCTCGAAACATCTCCAAATCTCCTTTTGCATGGGGGTCATGACAGGTGGAAACCCAGCCCCAAACCCACCCCTCAGCACAGTCGGAGAGACCGAGATCCAAGACTGGGAGGGAGTTGCCCGAGGACACACAGCGAGTAAAGGCAAAGCCTAGACTTTTCCATCAAAGGGCGGTTCTGTGGATGGGGAGAAAGTGGCTCAGAAGCAGGAATGGGAAATGTGGGGAAACCGAATTCGATTTATTGCAATACCATTTCTATAGGACTCTACAAGGACTCGGGGACTCCCCAAAGCCAGGCTGCCTATAATCAGCACCAGGCGGGGCTCTGAGGACCCCGATTCTCAGAGGACTCCTTCCCTCGCCTCCTCGCTAAGCTCAAGGGCAGAGTCTGAGGCCAGGGCTGAGGTGTGGCTAGAGGGGCCAGGCACAGGGAGGACTGTCCTCAGGGTGAGAGCTATCCATGCCAGGCCGCCCTCTGCGACCAGCACGGCTCAAATGAAAAGCAGTTTAAAACATGTGAAAACGTTAAGGCAAGCAGGCGACAGGTTTACGAGCTTGTGCCAGGCGCTTTTGCATTTCATCTTTATTACAGCTCCATGAGATAGGTGTTGACGCCACTTTACGGCTGTGGGAACCGGTTCAGAGAAGTTCGGTAACTTGCCCAAAGTCACACAGCCAGTATGTAGAGAGGCCAGAATTAGGAACCAACTTCCTAAGAGCCAAAAATGCCAATGAAGGCTTGCAGGGCTAAGAGCCAAGGAGCTGGGAAATTCAGCCATGTGTGCCCCAGGTTCAGGACACTGGCATAGCCCAGAGGACAGTTTCAGCAGAGGAAACGTGACCCAGACAGCACGGGGACAGGTCTGTTGGCTCTGCCCCAGAGCTGACTTGTGACCTTCAAGAGACCACACCACCTCTCTGCACCCCAGCCGCTGAGCAATGGCAGGGAAAGACAGGTAGATAACCCCTGACCAGCTTCTGCAAAAGGAAGTGAATCAACTCGCTGAGCCCGTTAGACCTCTCAGAGGCTGACTCAAAAAACTCATGGTTGTGGGTAACCTGGGGACCAGGAAGTAGAAACCCCACACCTGTCCTCCCCTAGGTCCCAGGGAGCCAGGCCCAGAAGGGACCTCCACCCGCCCCCTAAAGGGATCCAGGCCTGGCGGGGGCGGCAAACAGCCAACCTCCACTGCTAGTGTAGGTCCCCAGCCAAGGCCTGAGTCACTCCCCTCCCAGCCTGGCCCAGGGAGGTGGGCAAGCCGCCCCAGTGCGGTTCATCCGGGCTCGTCCAAGGTCATCCCAGCCAGCCTCTTGCCTTAGGAGGGCCTGTCTATCAGGGCCATGGAGGGTCCACACAGGGGATGTGACAGCCGGGGAGCCAGAGTCCTGTGTTCACTTTCTCACCCTAGCAAGGCTGTGCGTGACTTAGGAAAATTATTCCATTTCCACGAGCATTCTCAGAAGTCACAGCATCAGAGAAATACGGGAGCCGGTGTTCAGTACACAGATGGTATCTGAAGCCATGGACTGGGTAAGATCGCTCAGGGAGTGAGGACAGCCTGGGAAAAGGTCCAAGGCCTGTGCCCCAGAGCGTCACCTTGAGTAGGGACCAGAGAGGCAACCCATGCACCTCCGCTCCCCCACTGCTCCCTGAC